TTCGCTAAATTCAAGGCCATCGACCTTGTTGTCACCACTCTTTGGCCACATCAGCTATCTATTCCACGAGCAATGAACAAACTACAATAAATAACGCTGCTATCAAATTCACTGTATGTTTGCAGTCAAAGCGTGTAGTCATAATCAATTTTACGCATTAACTGTATGCAGTCGATCTCGGCTGCATGAAGTCGGTTTCGGCTGTATGCAGTTAATGCGAAGTCGTTATCCGAAACCTCGACTGCACGAAGTTGATAACGATTTCACGCATAAACTCTATTACTATGGTATTTATAATTATTATTGTAACTAATTTGATATGTATTGTTATGTATATGTATGTATGTATGTATGTGGGTGTCTGTATGTATGAATATAATGTAAGTATGTGGTTATATGACATATAATTTTTATCTGTTATTTATTTTATGTAATTTCTTCCTATATGTATAAAAATGAAATTTTGAACTATAACTCCATAAGACTACGCGCGTGTGTCACGGGAGTCATAGAAAGCCTTAATTGTCAGTTGGTTCATAGAATAGAATCATTTATTTAATGTTATTTATCAATGTCACGATATTACAATTGAAAATACTTGTCTTTGTGGGAAATGCTTCATTTCATTATAAAATGGTTAAATTGTTAGTTAATTAACCATTTTAGATAACTAATTATTTTCACCTTTTTGTGGGAATGCTTCATTTTATTATTGTTAGTTTGGCCCTTATACTTAGAATCCATCGAAATACAACGAAGTCAAGTAAAACAAAATTACAATTGAATATATTACATATATATTTAATCGTGTTTGTTTAATGTTTGTTATTTGTTTAGTATGTAACTGTTTGTGTTTATATAAAAAAAATTAACTGCATGCAGTTAAAACCGACTTCATGCAGTCGAGATTAATTGCAAACATGCAATCTTTCTGTTAGCAACCTAATTCGGAGATATTTTTAAATTCAGATGGGAGGTATTATCCTCTGTTGTGTATTAATTCGTTTAAGAACAAGATACTTTTCACTTCTCATGCTCTTATAGTTCGTATTTATACTGGGTGTAGGCTGCATAAAACAGGATTTTATGCTCTAGTGCATAAAATAAAATCGTCGTTTAAGACCGAGGCAATAACGCCTGCGCCAACAGCCACGCACACTAGAATTTTATAAAATAAAGTTTTACTTTTGTTTTTTTAATCCGTGTTATATTTACAAAATTAAAAAAGTAGGCAACAGTAATTCTAATAAGTTATAAGAAATAGAAATGCATGAAAAATAAAAACTAGTAAAATATAACTGAGACACGTGTAGAAAAAAAAGTAGTACATTGGCGGTATTGTTGTAATATTACATTCAATTTTAATTAAATAATCGTTTATTTATAATATTGCTGTTTAATTTCCTCGAAAAGCAGAGTGTATAACTCGTTCATAAAACCCATTTTACCCTCAACTTGATATACTCGTGACGTGTTTTATGCACTTGTTGTACAATCTACTATTATCTATTCCATATCGGCTGAGAAAGAATGCTTAAATTAAGTTTTAGTTGCATTATTCAAGGGGTGAGGGAGGCCTAGTGATTTGTAATACAGCTAAAATGTAGGTATCAAACACCAGCCATCTTACTATTACATATACTAGTGTAATATGTGCCTACTAAGATTTATACTGTTTTGTATTTTGCGGTGAGAAATAAACCTGATAATATATTATTAAGGTGAGGTCGACTGAATTTCGGTCGCAGCGTGTGACGTGCTTGTGCGAGTGAAGGTAGGGGGTGAGAGAAGTGGTCACTTCAGTGTTGATGCGCGTGAATAGACACACTTCTTGCTCCATTACAATATATGACACAAATTCCTCGTACAAACGCTTAACAACAACTGAATAAAATACGGTCGTCTGGCGCCCAAACCGAATTTCAGTCGAACGTAAATTACGCAACTCAAAAAACGCGACTTACAACTCACAAAATTAAGGTCGTTTGGCCTCACCCTTATAGTTGCGTTTGCCCAAATCGACGCAATTATTTCAAAAGTGGTCTCAAAATTAATAACACATTTTCGTAACATATAACAAGTTTTATTTACTCCAACGCGTCATTTTGATTGATTATCCCACATTCTTACTATTTTTTTTCAAGATGGAGTAAAATAACAATTTAATGCGCAAAAGGGTTGCCAGTTTATAAGTAGCTAGTGATTACAGTAGATAAAAACTATTGTATCGACTATAGTCGATATCGACTTCGTTAATTTTACGCAATAAAAGCCGAATTTGTTTCATTTAAATACAAATTAAGATTCACGAAATACAAAAATGTTACAATTATTAATACAAAGATCGAATACTAAGAAAAATTCCATCGATCCGACTGGATTCGAACCAGCGCCTTCAGCATACCGTTGCTGACGCACTCCCAACTTAGGTACGGAACGAAACAGCAGATCTTACAATTCTGCGTGTGCTTAAAAAGAAATAATTAATTATTAAAACGGCATAACATTCACACTTCAAGCGTTTCTGCGAAATATTCCCCTTTCCAGTGTTCCATTTTATTTTTTCTATATTTTTCCACATTTGACAGTGACACCTATAAAAAGTTCAAGATATTGAACTCTACTATAAGAATTTGTGTAAATAAGCAAAACAGGGTATAGAAAACTACAATACAATATTATTTTATAATTCATGCTAAATAAAACATTAAGATCAATGCAAACGTAGAACATAATATGAGTTTAATTATGTTTTTCTAATTATTCTGAAATTTTTCCGAAAATTTTCGACTATTCGAAATTGGTTAGTCCTTTCTCAATTTATCGATAAAACTTTCCAACAACAGCTACATGACTATTCAAAATTTGACGAAAAATGGCAAACCTGCAAACGTCATTTTACTCCCTCTTAAAAAAAAGGAAATCTACGTTGCACGTGCAATAATGTTGTGCAATCAAACAATAAACAGTATATATACGTAATAAAATACTTTTCTTATATTTCCAAATATCGTCGTTTAGGTTTTTCTTGCAGCAGTCGTATTAAACATTTGGCCTACCATCAGCTCAGTCGGTGTACAGTCGAAAATGTTTGGCTTAAATAATCATATAAAATATATATATATATATTATATCCCTTTACAAGAATCAATGATTTAGATCTTTCTGTGCCACACGTGTATTTGTGTGTTCATGATATGTTAAAGCTAACTTCGATTAGAACAACGAAACATAAAATTATTATTAACTAATAACACAATTTCGATTAAACTTTAAATAGATTATATTTTGATAAATAATATCAACGCTGAGACTACAGCTTTTTCAATGTAGCGCGGTTCGTAATCTTCGCATTTTACTCTGATGTATTTCTTACATATACACTAAATTGGCTAAAGTTAAATTTCGTTCAAGATTACTAGTGCTTTAGCACTGTCTATATGATTTTAAACTTACTGGCACCGCGAACATGCCAGTAACACTGAAAATAATGTTTTTGGTAGTCGATCGAATTTGTTTATCACCCCTTCTATAATTCCTGTCTCGTAGGCCATAATGAATCACAATATTTCAGCATTGGTGCATTAATGGCATGCCACGAATTCACACGACACTTTAAAAAAGCTGTAATCCAAGAAAACTTATAACCTCTGGTCCAGATAACAACGATTAAAATTACATTTGTCAATAAATATTGAATAATACATTGCTACCACACCAAAAAGGTATACAAAACACACAGTCACAGTTACAATGCTACATACTATACTAACAATGGAGGAGTATGAAATCGCCCTAAGATTACACATGATTTCAATTATTGGCACCCCTAGTGCCAGTACTTGCAATAGTGTAATTTTTTATACTAACTAGTGAGGAATGATCTGTTCAGGTAACTCTAAAGCACCTGTCTAATACTAATAAATTAATGCATTTACTCTTGTCAGTCTCAGTTTCGATTAAAATTTTCTCTTCTAAAATTTTTTTAAAATTGTTTTTTCTCATATTGCAAATATCTTCAATCATCTCAAGTTTTAAAATACTTCGTTTGCACATGCTTTATTCTAGCGAGTCTAAAGAGAAAGCAGAAGAACAGTTTAGTAATTCCAAACTCCTCCAGCACCACACGTAAATAATAGACACCTATAATGATATCCACACCCAACTACAAATATTGGAAGTTTGTATGACCGAAAGTACAAATTCTTTGAACATTTAATGGTATTACTTTATTTACATTATTCATAAACAGACTTCTCTTATTTAGATATAACGTCCTTGTATCAAGGATAAAACCGTAAGTATAGATATACAAAATCTATGTATACATATAAGATTGGGGACACATTCGATAAACATTCGTCCTTTATAATTATATACATCACACTTAGAATTAAGTCGTGCATAGTTAACCATTTAAAACCTTGTGTTATGAAATAATAACGTTGTCTTTTCAAGCTTTTTCCTTTGGCAGTTTTTACTGGCTTTGATTCTCAAATGAAAGCTGCCAATAAAACACTAAATAGGGTACGTTTGGCACCCTTAATTCCATAACACTGGCGACATTTAATTTTATACTAAAGTAGTAGTAAATACAATAAATATAAAGGCGTTCTTTCAGTTACTAGCCTTTTTCTATATCTACGACACACCTTAATGATAGAGCGTAATACAAGTGGGGTGCCAAGAAATGAATTGTACTAGTAATTGAAAGGTGACCAACAATAGACACATTCGCCATAAGTAGACAATAGAACTTTTACCTTGTTAAATTGTAAACTTGAGTCGTTTATGGTATTGATTTTTAATTTAATTTTTTGATTTAAAACGTTGTTTTCTTTATTGTTTTAAAAAGAGATAACACAAAATACCTTCTTATTAGAATAAACTTCCGTTCCGAAGTAAGATAGGTAATTACCCCAATTTCACCACCACAATGTTATTCATTGGCAATTTAGTCCATATTAATGTCAGTTTTGGAAAAATTCCCAAGGCTTTTTCCAGTCACGCAGATATAGCTCGGCACGTGTACATCTCTGTTATCTACCGCACCCAAGGATTTCATCGATTTTTTTTTATTGTGTTATATTGACACTGGCAGTGCTATGTAACGCTATATGTGACCGGAACGAGTCCGCGTGATTGAAAACGCCCTTGGAAAAGATAAAACGTCACGTCACCAGCCCTCAGTCGTATAGTTCCTAGTTGTGGGCGTCCGCCTACTCCGGCGTGAGGTAGAGCCGGCGGCGGGCGCGCGACAATCAGCGCGCGTCGCGGGGGGAGCGCGGGGGGGACACGGTCTCGCCCGCCAGCGCCATGTGCTCCAAATGTCGACGCACTATCTCGCACACGATGCCCGACTCGATATCCACGCCTGGACACACATAAGCGTTTCCACGTGCACTACGCGTCTGCTAGGTACCCACTTGTTATTTAGAAAATTATATTATATATTCTTTATTGCACCAAAAATACATCAGAAAACTTAATTGTAGAAAATGTGAGCACAGGTGGACTTATCCCTAAAAGAGATCTCTTCCAGACAGTGAGAACGAAGGTCATAAGCGGCAACACTGTGCAAGTAAGAAGGAAGGAGAAAAATAATAAACTTAGCACGTAAACAGAAAATAAATAATAAAAAAATAAAAAATAAATAAAAGATACCACTTAAATGAGTATTACAAATACGTAAAATATTTAACGTAAATATACACACAAATAATATAATATATCTACCTATATATATTAAAAAAATATAAAATACACATATAAGATGATGACAGTTCAGCAAGAAAGTGCGCTATCGACCTTTTCTTGAAGGAAGCGATCGACGGACTAGATTGGGTGTGAGCCTGTTCCACAACTGCGCTGCTCGAGAAGAAAAAGGGTTTAGAAAATTATAATAAAACAGGGTTACAATAATGGTAGTTTTCCACCGGCGAGGCGTGACGAGACAAGAATAGAAATCTCGCCGGGCTATTTCCACCATAAGTTGCTATTAATAACTCGCGTGATCTCGCGCTGTGATTGTGGATAGTGAAGATTCAGTGCTGTTCAGCGTCTAGTGTTAAATACGTGGCTAAAGTAACATGTCCCGTACATTATTGTTATTAAATATGATAATAGAAGAAGAATCAGATGAAACCATTTCTTTAAATCTCAATTCGTACATACCCCACAATCTCGCGATTGATATTAATAGCCATCGTCAGCTCGCGCGAGTCGTGCGAGAAATCGTGTTTCCTTTGAAGAGTATAATAATACTCTATGAAGGCAGCAATACGGTTCAATATTACATCAACAAATATTTCGATTGTCGCCTCAACCATCCTCGTCAATTCAGACCATTTCAACCGAAGATGGAATTGAAATTTTATGATACAAATTTTATACCTCGTCTCGTCTCGCCTCGCCGGTGGAAAACCACCTTAAGAATGGCAGCAGTCTTAGTAGGAGAACGATTGCTTCTCAATTGAGGAGCTGACAAAACCAAAATTTGTTGCGGCATGTATATGACTTTCAAATTGTAAGTGACGTAAATGTACGTCACTTACGCGAATGTTTAGTAGCAATACCTTCGCTAATGGCGAAGAAAAATCCCGTGATAAACCTGCACGTCGTAAGAAGTTTCTAACCCGGATTGAGCCAGGTGGCGGACTACGGCTTAAACTCTTTCCCTAAAGGAGACCCATGCCCAGCAATGTGATGTAAGGCCGTAGAAAAACATTAATTAGAAATAATAAAATAATCAAGTATTTATTACCTGCGTGCACATCTTCTCTTGTGAGGACGATCTCCTGGATCTCGTCTGGCGTCACTAGCACCACTCGATGGTGACGTGTTTGAAGGCTGTTCGCTACCACCATCTGGAAAAAACGATGGCGCTGCAGATTTCTGTACCCGTCATACGGTTGCAGAAGCAATGTATTTGCACAGCACTGTCCTGGCCGTTTAAGGAGATCCATACACAGAGCACAGCACCCAGCAGTAGTTCCCAAAGTCCAATAATTGGGACTGCTAGTTCAATGGTTAGCCTAGCCGATAGTATTAAGCACGCTCTATAATAAATAATCCTTACTGCAGAAGTTTAATATTCAAAATACTTTAAAAATGAGAAATGTATTAATTTGCAATTTTGTAATGCACAATTTTTATAACGTACACACTCAACATAGCCCCGCATTAGGGAAACCCTGTGTCGCGGGTGCCATGGACACACACGTAGACAACCACAAATTACACCCAAGCTCACGAGAGAAATAAATGTAGGCCATACAAATATTTCTCCCGACCCGGGAATCGAACCTGGGACCTCTGCATGGCAGTCCGGCATGGTAACCGTTCGGCCACGGAGGCAGTTAATAAAAAATACAGACAGATTCATTAATTGGACGTAGTACTAGTAGCAAAAAGGATTAAATCCACAAAATTATCAAAAATTGAGTTATATGTACCAAATGGTTCCTAAAGTCTAACCTCATAGATCAGGAAAAAAAACCAACATAATATTTATTGATATTATAAAATAAAAATATTTATTTATTTATATTATAAATAAATATCTCTGGAGTTACATGACATTACAAGTTTTGAAAATAAAACAAGAGTGAGAAACACTTTTAATTTTTTTTACATAGATTTCTCATAGATGGCGCTACGACTAAAAGTCGTTGAAAAACCAAATATAAAAAGACGACGCAAGCACATAGAAAAATTCGTGAGGTCCGCTGATTCGTTCCGTGGCTTAGTTGGTATAGCGTCTGGCACGGTATGCAAGACGTGTCGGTTCGAATCCGACCGGATCGAAGGATTTTTATTATAATTATAACAAACTACCACTAGTTAGAGTAATTTCACAAAAAAGAATTGAATATCAATTCAATAAAAATGTAATTAACACTTTTAAAGTTAAAACTGCCATACCTCGAAAATGAGTGGAAGTGGATTGGATCCTTTTTGATTAACTACATCCACTTTTAATTTAATTTAACTAATTTTAAACAATAACGAATAGCTGTTGAAAGTGTGGAGCAATTTGCGCTATATTAGATGTCTTTTAACCATCGGGTATATAACAAGAAATAGAGACGAAATGTCATTTAATTTGTTTGAAAGCTATTCTGCCAAATCATTACGGTGACAACTGTGCTCCGATTGGCCAGCCCGAATACGAAACAATTGACGAGTGTCGTCGTCGTGTTGTTTCACTTCAAATCGACCAGTTAACTTGAGCTTTGCTATAACGGATCAAAATTGCAAAATTACATGTTTAACATTTAATTACTGATGAAATTTGATCCCGTTTGTTTTGTAATTAGATGTTTTGCTGTTTTTCCCCACACCACCGTATGAAACAGTACGCCATTGTTAGAGACATTATCTTTATTACAATAAATACAGAATATTTTTTGGAATATACGGAGATGTACACACAGGTCAGTTGTTGGCGCTGTCTATATTTCAGTGCAAACGAGAGTTGATATTTATAAGTGATGTATCACTGACAAGTTACTAGGAATGTATGGCTTATTTCGTCTCTATTTCTGGTTATATACTCGATGCTTTCAACAGAGATAGCCGTGTTGGATTTTTCAAATAATGGTGTTTGTCTGTCAACTTAAAATATAGCCATATTTCATTTTGTTTATCTATAGCCTGTCTTTTTTTAAGACAGATTATAGATAATAAAATCACAGTTAATTGCGCAAAAGTGTTGTCCGCTTGCAAGCAGCTAGTAATTACAGTCGATAAATATTTTACTACGACATTTCATTTATCTACTACATTTTTACATGTCACCATTAGAATTACTTTAAAATCCAACTTCGACTTCCGAGGTCAGTAGTTTGTCCCACGATGCAGTGAAACCATTTCCGGAAATCCAACACAAACATGGTCGGAAAAACACCTTTTCCTGACCATTGTTAATAATATATCTATTATATTATATTTTATTATATTATATATTATTATATTATATAACTGCCTCCGTGGCCGAACGGTTACCATGCCGGACTGCCAAGCAGAGGTCCCAGGTTCGATTCCCGGGCCGGGAGAAATATTGTATGGCCTACAGTTATTTCTCTCGTGAGTTTGGGTGTAATTTGTGATTGTCTATGTGTATTATTATTATTATTATGTATTTAGTAGTATTACCTTATGTTTATACTTTTCAAGCGCACCCCTCGCTTTCGGTATGAGCAGAGCCTCGTCGGTCTCGAGCTTGAAGGAAACCACGTAGGCTTCGGGCACCCAGAGATTGCACAGAGGTGCCAGCATTTTTGGAACAAGTTGTAGTTGGATTACCGGAGGCGCTCCGCTGCCTGACTGGATTTTGTGAGTGGGCTGTGAAAAGAAATAAACGTGAACACGTGAACACCCACACATCATGATCATCATCACAATGAACACTTGATTTACTGACAGACTTATTTGTATTATACGTGCCGGCCATGTTTTTTTTTACAATATCAAGTGACGGGACGAACAAGTCGTGCGCCTGTTGGTAAGCGACACGCCTGTCCATGACAGTTGCAGTGCCATTCAGAGTTATTATTCGCAAAGATCTTAAGGGTACTGCCACTGCGTTCGTCACTCTGAGACATAGGTACAACAAAACATCAAAGTTTATTTTTGGTAAATATCTTGTTTTGCAAATAGTCATGGAACAAAAAATGTTGTTTATAATGTGAGGTTGTTAATATTTTAGAAGTAACCTTGAATATTTTTTTATACATGAAAATAACATTAAAATATAATTATCTACAGGGTCAAGAGCACGTCAATCCGACTTAAATCCAACTCTATGCCGCTTACGATAAGGACGGTCCAAAGTCCAAAGCGTCAAGCTTGATGTGCTCTTGATTATACTATGGTATCATTTAAAGTAATATTGTAAAACAAAAATGAACTGTAGATCACACTACTTTTGCGCTGATAGCCTCAAATTATAGCTACTCTGGCAGCATAATTTTGTCTTAAAATATTCTGTAAAAAAACATCAATTCAATAAAAATTTCATTAATACAGTGAATAGCGACATCTCTCGCCAGGACTGGTAGCTGTAAAGGTACTAACTGGGTGATAAATCTGCAATAGATTTCTCATAGATGGCGCTACGACTAAAAAGTCGTTGAAAGACCAAGTACAAAGACACGACGCAAGCACATAGAAAAATTCGTGAGGTCCATTGGTTCGTTCCGTGGCTTAGTTGGTATAGCGTCTGGCACGGTATGCAAGACGTCGGTTCGAATCCGATCGGATCGAAGGAATTTTTTCTGAGTGTTCGATCTTTGTATTAATAATTATAACAAACTAGTGGAGTAATTTCACAAAAAATAATTGAATATCAATTCAATAAAAATTTAATTAATATTCTGTAAAAGTTAAGTTTTTTTTACGATACTAAACTACGGGACGAACTAGTCTTGCGCCTGGTGTTAAGCGACACGCCTCCATAACAGTTGCAGAGCCAGTCAGTGTTTTAAATTACAAAGATCTGGGAGCACTATCACTGCGCCCATCAATCACCCTGAGACATAAGTTGACAAGTTCTATGTGCCTATAACTTTACCAGCACCCTTACGCGTTAAATCGTAACACAGTGGCGCTCGCATTACTGCTTGGCGGCAGAAATAAAAAAAAAAAGAAAGGGGGCAGTACTACCCTGGAAGTTTAATACAGTAATACCATTGACTTACAATTATATGGACGTCGGGTCCGCGGTAAAAAGTGTCCGAACTTATAGGGCGTTAAAATCATAGACAGAGCGTCATTCACGCTTTAGTCTTCGTTTATTCGACTGACAGCGAACCAAGCAAAATTAGACAGTACTGCGATGTCATTACAATTTAAATTCAACGTTTTAGCTTTTTCATATTCATTTACATGTCACTACGTTTAAATAGGTTGACTTGGGACATTTTTTTCGTGGTTTTTGTATTAGACCCGTCGTCCATTTATTTGTAAGTCAATGAGTAATACTAATTATTTATTACTACAGAGAAACGTTTACTAACCACTCTGTCCTTAGGAATGTAGAAGTCCGAGACTGCAGCGGCCAAGTATAGACACGCTCTCGCGCCGAGGTTGGCCAAGCACTCACACGCTGCTCGCAGAAGCCACAAGTACTCGGAGACTGTTGTAAAGGACACGTAGAGAATCGCGCCAGCCGCGTGCGCAGCTTTATATCGGAGAAGTATAGGTGCTAGCACGTCTACGCTGTCGGGTTTTACTGAAATCGAAAGTACGCCACATAATTGCCTCGTCCTAGTCTAATAACAAAAGTGATAATAGAAAGTCCATTGGCAATGTCTAGTTAATAAAAGATTGTTATGGCCATTTATTTTGAGAAGAAATTACTTCTTTTCATTAAATCCGTACTTATAAGCATCTGCACTTATACACGCTTAATGCTATAATTTTCTACGCTCACAGAAAGAAAGAAAACACATTTATTTGTTTCCCACAAATGACACCACAAAAAGAAAAAAAAAACATAATCAAAACATTCAAACGTAAAATATAAATAAGTAATTACGAAGCAAAAAAAATATATAAAACAATGAAATTAAAACACAAACTATTTACATAAACAAGAACACAAAGTATAAAGTTACTTGTGTGGTGTCAGCCGTTTGTTACCACAAAAGAGTCACTAACTCAGTAGGTATTAGCTGCCTCCGTGGCCGAACGGTTACCATGCCGGACTGCCACGCAGAGGTCCCAGGTTCGATTCCCGGGCCGGGAGAAATAGTTGTATGGCCTACAATTATTTCTCTCGTGAGTTTGGGTGTAATTTGTGGTTGTCTATGTGTGTGTCCATGGCACCCGCGACACAGGGTTTTCCCTAGTGCGGGGCTATGTTGAGTGTATGCGTTATTTATTATTATTATTTTTATTTGCTAAAAACGTTTAAAGATATGTTTCTACTCTAAAAGAACGCTTAAATCTGTAAGCTTGTACACTAATACACGTTTAAGGCTATAAGTTTCTACATTTATAGAACCCAAAAATTAAATACTCACCTGTGATTGAAGTATTAGGTCCCCGTTCCTGTATGTCAAGCATATCCAGCAGCTTCTGCCCATTGAAGTGCCTCGTAAAGGGCTCCAGTGACTTCTGACGGTGCATGAAGATGACGGCATAACCTTGTTCGAGGAAATGCTCCGCGGAGGCCGAGCCTCGGGTGCCTGCGCTAAAGTTGTCCACGAACCGGACTGTGTTGTGCTCTAGGGGCACTGTTGTGCCCCCCGACTGGAAATAATACAAGTTGGATATAAGGCACATTTAAGGGTATATAAGTGTATCTTGTGGTGTTGCAAAAAAGATTTTTTCACATCAAACAGGATTCTGACATGGCATATAAAGGCGGTCTCTCACATTTTAGTTTTCTTCGCACAGCCGAAGACTACAGACAGCCCCGGTCCACTGGCCCAGCGATTTTCATATTGATAACACCATGTTTTATCGTTAGGGCTCAGTGAAAACCAGCGCCACTGTCTCATTATGACTGTGGTCCGTATGTCCGTACATATATTTCTATTTTGTTTTGTTTGTTCAAGTGTATGGCGTCGCAATAAATGTTTTTCTATTCTATGTAACACGATTTTTGTTTCTGGGTTATCAATATTTTCTGATTGGCTCTAATACAAAACTTTATTTCTCTGCAAAAAATTTCCTTTTGTGATCAGACAACGAAAACGTTCAAATTTTTGGGTTTCTCTTTATTTATAAAGACAAAAAGGGAACATTACATTTCAAAATATATAATACAGTATATTTGAACCAAAATTCTATAAGCTGATGACAAAGAATAAAGAAATGTGTAGATATGCCAGATTATGTAAATATCGCTAGCTACGTAGCTATGTAAATAGGCATTTACACTACAAAAGCAAAGGCTTTCAGCTTGCAGGGCATTGACCTACCAACCTTCAGGGGTATAGCCACTCTGTCCTCCTTTATCATAACTAACGTAGTCACATTTTAGCGAAATTGAGTTAGTAACATGACTGGAAACAGTGAAACGAGATCTACATCTACAACCCCCTACAAGCGGTTTTTTTATATCTTATTTCGTTTCAATGTTCTTAAGTAAGAAAAACGCAATTGGCATTTTTCAAAGAAAAAAGCCTTAGGTGCCAATATCACGGAAGTTATCAAAAGCTCAGCGTTCAGCCTTTGTAATGGCAAGGAGGGTTGTACTCTTTTCTACATGCAGTATAATACCCCGCTTTACGGGAGGGATGCGGTTCGGACAAAATCGCGTTAAGCGAATTTCGCGTAAAACGGGGTTGTTCTTTGTTTGTGTGGCCCGCCTGGTGCTATGTTTTTGGTCACCCTAGGGTCTGAATCGCGTTAAAGCGAAATCGGGGTTTTACTGTACTTGGCTGTTCAATGAAATCAATACTGTCAAACTTGAAAATTTGTAACAATGTAACTAACCAACTTCGAGTATATCGCCCTTGTACTGGAAAAAACAATTATTTCACAAAATATCGACTTTGAAATAAATGTAATTGAAATTTCAATGACGACTATTTCTTAAAAAGATGATTCCACATTTCATGTGTTACCTAAATTTGAAAATGTTTGCATTTTATATAAGCAACTTTGTCGCGTTATCCAATATTAAGTCATATTCTGTGAAAATTCCAGATAATTGGTTTTCGCAGTACAACGACGATATAACCAGAAACAGAGACGAAATAAGGGCCATCCAGTGTTGGGCAAAATTTAATTGTTCTGGCAATTAAAGATTGACAATTGATTAATTGTCAATTGCGAAACAGCAATTAACGATTGATCAATTGTTAATCGCAAATATCTACAATTAACAATTAATCAATTTTCAATCTTTTCAATGTTTTTGATTAACAATTAACAATTAAAACTGACAATTATGATAAATTTATAGGGCATATGGGGGTGAGTTAGGGCGTTGGTTGTGGGGGCCTGTTGGGGGCCTGCTGGGGGCAGGTAAGGGGGCCGGTTGGGGCCCCGGTTGGGGGCCTCAGTTAATAAACTTAAAAATTAATAAACTTAATAAACTTAAATTTAAAGAAAATATTCCATCTCTATGGGCGGCAAACTACGGGATGAATCCGGTTTCACCTATTTTCAGGTAACCGATTTCAATAAAACTTAGCAAATAGATATAATTCCACAGAATTTTGAGGTCGGTTTTTTTTTCAAAAAAAAAAGTTATTTAAAATCTAGTTTGTAAGTTTCCCAAAATTCCTTTTCGTTTAGAAACTAGAAATGACAACTGTTATAACATGTATATTCAATTACAGTCTGAAGTTGTTTACTCGTTCAAGTTTGATGTATTACGATGTTTGCATTAACCGGTTTGGTTTATTTTGTAAACATTACTTGATGTTTTGGTAAACAGTATTACTACAGCTCCTACACGTAAATATGCATACATAGGAAGTACAAGGTCTATACTGCAGACCTTTTCGATTCAATATATTCAAACCTGTTTACTAGTTTTTTGAAGAATGGGGTGTTGTAGTGCATAATAAATAATTGGAGAATCATCAAGGTGGGAATAAAGTTTTATTATTACATCAAATATTATAAATGCGGCAGTAACTCTGTTTGTTACGTTTTCACACATAAGAGTTGATGTTCAATTATTTTTTATGTGAAATTACTCCACTAGTTTTACAAAGACCGGATTCGAACCGACGTCTTCTAGCATGCCGTGCCAGACGCTATACCAAAAGCCACGGAACGAATCAGTGGACCTCACGAATTTTTCTGTGTTTGTTGTCGTGTCTTTGTATTTGGTTTTTTCAACGACTTTTTAGCCGTAGCGCCATCTATAAGAAACCTTAAGTATTTCGTCACCCAGTTAGATACCTTTATAGCTACCAGCTCTGGCTAAATATGTCGCTATTCATTGTATTTAATTTTTTATTATATTGATATTCAATTATTATTTACGCTGGTTCATTCCGTGGCTTAGTTGGTATAGCGTCTGCCACGGTATGCTAGAAGACGTCGGTTCGAATCCACCCGGATCGAAGGAATTTTTTCTCACTGTTCGATCTTTGTATTAATAATTATAACAATTTCGATGAATTTTGGTATAGATAGACGGGATTTAGGAGAAACAAATAGGCTAGTTTTTGTCACAAAAATAAATCTTTAAGGGGATGAAATAGGTAATGAAAGTTTGTACGGGGGACCAATCATTTCTCAAGTTTAGTAGCAGTAGAGCTCCTTGTGAAAGAGTTCGTCCAGGGAAGTACTGCCACCTTACCTATTTCTGCCGCCAAGCAGTAATGTGAGACCGTTACTGCGTTCCCGTTTTGAAGGGTAAGGGTGCTGGTGAAATTACAGATACATGGGGCTTGTCTATTTATTTCACAGGGTGCCTTTGCGATATAAAGCTCTGAGTGTCACTGCAACTGTTATGAACAGGCGTGTCGCTTAACACCAGGCCCACATAACTTGTCCCCCGTCACTTGATAAAAAAAGAATCTGAAAATTCATATTCATGCCTTTTGTAAAAAAAAAACAAAACAAACACCAGCTAGTTATTAATAAAAATTAAAAAGATTTTAACCGAATGATACTTAGGTTAAATAAAACACACTATTGCCTAGACATAAAAACGAGTTCTTAGGTTTTCGCGATCGTTACACATAGGAAATGAAACTATTTTTAACCGACTTCAAAAGAAACAGGAGTTTCTCAATTCGACTGTATGTTTTTTGCGTAAGCATGTTACACGATAACTCCGGATAACGTGAACCGATTTTGTTGACGCACTTTCGGGTATCCAATTTCAATAAAATTTGACAAATGGATATCGAGTTCTTAGGTTTTCGCGATTGTTGCACATAGGAAATGAAACTATATTTCCGGATTTAAATCCGGTATTTTTTTTTTCAAACAAACCAACGTTTCGGGCCCTTTACAAGTCCCATGGTTACGGTTGACTGAGGTGGTACAGTCACCAACCAGTTATGTCTAATATTAATGCAAACCACCCTATCTTTTGGCTATAGTTATAAAAGTTATTAATTAAATACCTTATTTATAATTTTACAAAGAAACATTCCAATTTACGCTACATTGTTTTACAAATTATTTTATTGTAACAATAGGAATTTATATTAAGTTAAATTTATTATTAATTAACAATGGAAATTAGAATAAATTAAAACATATTAATTAATACTGCAGTCTTTTGTCTGATTGGTGATTTTTCATCAGAGGAAATACTGGATCCAAACTGGTGGTACGGAGAAACCATCTTTCCTGTTGAAATTAGGATGTTTTTTTAATTTCAATGGCCTCTCGAAGCATCCTAGGTAGATAACGGACTTCTTTTGCAAGGTCCTGGGGTTTGTCAAACTTCATTGAATCTGTAGGTTTATCCTTGACATGACATTTACAAATAGATGTAATTTCATGAACTTTTGAGGTTGGTTTTTTGTGACCGTGATCTGATCGTGATGTTAAAAAAAAACAAATGTCCGCGACTTAGATCCAAAAAAATAGTTTCATTTCCTAGAAATACAAAATCAATAAAACATGGGCTGTAGGTATATTGCCGGAGGACATTTTTAGATGCTTCGTTTTATTCAAAATAGCGGTATTGTAAATGCTATGTGGTTAGTCGCTTTTTGAATCAATAATATAAATGCCATTGCTAAGTATAAACTGTTATGATTAATGATATCGTATCGATGGCCTATTACCGCGTTATTATATATTCACAGAGGCGCAGTTAGGCAGTGCTTGTTTTCATACACACATAAACGTTAACTTCTAATTGACGTGTAATTGTTTCCTTAGAGAATTATGTACATATCGTCCGAGATAGTGCAGTTAGGTACGCGTAACTAGCATTGGATTATGAATTTCCATTTCGGTAATTTGTCGTGGCCATTGAAATAACAAAGTAATAACGTTAAATGTCTCTCCTGTAAAATTTGGTTTACTTTAGATACGCGCCTTTGACGCAGATTTGCACTATCCCCGACGACACACAGAAAGCGGGGCGTGTGCCCGTCTCGCGCGTGGTGTGTTGTCATCCATATAAATACACGTGTCCGTCAAGATGGCTGGACCAAACGAGACATACAAATCAAACTGTGCTCATTATTTACTACCCATTTTCTATTATTTAGTACATATATTGACATATTTTCTACCTTAGCGAAGCTTCTTGCTTAGCGCTAACGGAATTATGTGGTCAGTCGTTCTGACATCAGGTTGGCTGACTACTTTACGTTTTTCATGGTTCTAGCAGTACTACTTGGTACTTGGTGTAACGGGCTGGTGTCCGCAACTCGACGTCAAGGCGCCTATTTTGCGTGTGGTTCTAGCAGTATATAATTTACTTTTTTTATATAACTATTTACTACCTAAACATACTTTTTGTCACTATTTTAGGAAGCTTCTATAAAAAGTTATTTAAAAAAATTAATAAAACGCCTTTACAAAAATTATCTTCTAAAACGACAGTTTATCTTCTCCGTGTCATTGCTAACAATATTTTTTCAAGGCGCTTAGAATATACCAACAACGGTTCCTGGATTATCTTGGCCAACCTGACGTCAGAATGGCTGGCCAGTATATTTCTTTAATATTTGTAGAAAATATGTCAATAAAGGTACTAAATAATGAGCAGTTTGATTTATATATCTCGTTTGGTCCAGCCCTCCTGCCGAACACAAATACACGGAATTAGACCCGCCGTGCTCCCGACCCGACACGCGACCGACCCGCACCCGCTCTTTATGTGTTTCACGCTTAAAGGTTCCGAAAAACAAATGACATTGGAGTGAACTGACGGTAATTGCACTGAGGAAGAGTACTCTAAACTCACAAGAAAAAGTCAACCTGAACCTGATTTAAGAAGATATTTTTTTACGGATAAAGTTTAACTTATATTACTTACTGTGACTAAGACAATCTTGTTGCCGTAAGTGTCATGTCGTTCACAGAATTCTCTGAGCAGAGAGCGGTTGTCCTCGAAATCGGTGGGCGGTAAGTGCACTGCAAAGAACTCCTCCCATGAACTGCTAGCCATGATGGTGCACTGCAATGATAGTTATCTATTTTCAGGCATTTGCAACTCATAATATTTATAAGTAAAATATACTAAAAAAGTAGTGTTAGAATGTCCTAAATCAGTACTGGGAACTCATGCGATTTTTCAGCAAATACAGAGTTTTTTGTTACCGCAGCTAGCACCACATAAAGTATATTTTTACACTTATTGTATTTGTTTATATTTATGTAAATAATCTGAGTTTTTATAGCAGTACAGCTCCTTGTGAAAGAGCTTGTCCAGGGAAGTATTGCCACCTTACCTATTTTTGCAGTAATGTGAGCAGTACTGCGTTTCGGTTTTTAAGGGCAAGGTTGAGGGTGAAATTACAGGCACATGGGATTTGTGAACTTATATATCTCAGTGTGATAAGCGCAGTGTCAGTGCCCTTCAGATCTTTGTGATTTAAAGCGCTGAGCTCTGCAACTGTTATGGACAGGCGTGTCGCTTACCGCAAACAAATCCACAACAAGACAACTAATGTTTGACCCATGCTATGCAACGCGAGTGCATCGCGAAATTATACGAATGTGTAAGTCCGTACATGCCACGAGGCGGACATGCACACATACAAACCGCGCAGCTACGTTTGTATGGAGTTATTATACTTATTTTTCCAGATACCGAGCTTTTTAATGTATGTTCCACTGTCCATATTTCGATTGTTTTCATTGACCTACTAACAAAAGGACGTCGGGTTCGCGCTAAAAAGTGTCCGCACTTATAGGACGTTAAAATCGCATACAGAGCGTCAATCGCGCAACAGTCTTCGTTCGTTCGACTGATAGCACGGTTGTCAGTCATACAGTACTATTAGTATAATAATAACTTGTAAAAATTACTGCAGTAAAGTGTAAAAACAGGATTTTGTGTCATATTTTCACTAAACAAATATATTGTGTTATTATAGATATCATTTAAAAGGTGTTAGTTTGCACATTTGTATATGTATTTAATTTATTTAAAAATAAATCGTAAATATAAATTACAAAAGCAAACAAAATAATCAAATAGCTAATTGTCCTTTTTTCTACAAAAAAAGCTTCAAAATTACTTGAAAGCGTAACGGTTTTATCATAAATCGGTTTTCGGATATTTGAGTTTAAGTTTAGTTGGAACATCGGTACATTTCTTATAGTACACGCTTATTTTCACATTTGCAATATTTGTTTGTATGTATCTGCCCAACTCTTTATTATTTCTTTAAGTGAATTTGTACATAATTCGACATAATAATATATATAAAAAATAATTAATGTTTACAATGAAGACTGCTTCATTACTCTTGTGTTGAAGTAATTTTCAGCAGAAGCTAAATTTGGTGCATTTTGTTAAGTTTTCAGTACAAGCTGAGTATACTGTTTTTGGGCCCTTAAATTGTTGCAAGCAAAATTAGGCAGTACTGTATTGACGTTACAATTTAAATTAAATGTTAAAGTTTTTTATTTTTCATTACATGTCACTACGTTTGTATAGGTTAACTTCGGACATTTTTTTCGTGGTTTTTGTATTAGACCCGACCATGACCCGACATGTCCATTTGTTGGTAGGTCAATGATTGTATTAGTAATAGCCAGATGATATCTACTGGACTTGTTGATGTTTGTATTTAGACAAGGTTGTACCATTAATAAAAAATAAGGTTTCCAAGAGACATTTTTAAAACAAGCCGCGCTGCTGAAGCGTGGCCTCCGCCCCTCTATACTTCGCAGGGATTGTAAAATAGTTTATCACAAAAACTAACATAGATAACACTCCGTAAGAAGCCAAAGTAAGTGTTTTTAAACAATCTTGTTATTACGGTCAAGTTGAAAATCAATAGCTGCAGTCGTAATGAGTAGCTGTCTTTTGGGGAAGCCAAAGTAACAACTGAAATCCAAGCTAAGCTCCTTCTTAGTGTTAATAAACTCATTGTGATCCTATTACAGTTTACTAAGCACTGGATATTTTGTTTCAGAATAATTGTTATGTTAAAATTCGTTGTATCCGTTGCAATGCCACTGAAAACGTGTGAAGTGTACTATTGCCTTAACCCTCTCTGTTTGATCCCGGCTGAACCCGTCTCGAAGCGGACCAGACTTTACTTCGATGAAACTCGTAATTTTCCGTTTATTGCAGCTTCTTATTCTTAAGTGGACTGTATACACTTATATTCTTGAATGAACACCTTATCATAACAATTGTGATCTATGTCCCTATCTACCGACCCGAGAGATAGGGTTTTCCGGAGAGACTACGGGCTCGACGGCAAGACCAGGGTACGGCGGGCGTCCGGGCCATGCCCTCCGCCAGTTATACGCCTTCACGGGCGTCTCTGGCGGACCTGGACTTGGGTATGGGCTCGCCGAGGTTTGTGGTTAGCTGCAGGGACGAACACGTTCGTCTGCCCCCGTGGTGTGTGGCCGGGACGTTCGTCCCGCGCGCAGCTAGCGCGTCTTAGTAGTGGTCTAGTTGAGGGCCTGAGACGAGGAGACGCGCGGGTCACGTGAGTTGTCCTTTAAGTCGGTAGCTATGTCCGGACACAGTCGCAGGACACTGCTACTTGGCATCTCCGGCACTAAAGCACAGAGCTAGTAGAGGATGAGCTAGATATCTTCCAGTCATTCCAGCTGCCTTCATTCGAATTTGGGAACTGGAGAGACGCCGTTTATGAGGCGTCGGGAAGTGAGCGCGCCTTACAGCTCCGCCACCAATGAGGAGATTTGGTAGTCGACTCAGAGTCGGCGGCTCAGCGGTGGCAACCGTTAATCGTGCAGAGCGCGACGGGAAGTGAGCGTGTCTACAGCTCCGGTACCTATCTGGAAAATAGGGAGGGTGCTGTACGTGCACGGGGTGGCTCACCTAAAGCACTAGCTTTACAGAGAACCGAATAAAGTCCGTGCAAACGGGCTGATCCAGGGTTAGGACCTGACTTGATGGTCCCTGTGCAGGTTCGTTCGGTCATAGTGCCCTTCCCGCATATCAAGAAGTTGATAGGGACACTATAAACAAAACTTATGTAGAAAGGATATGGGACTGTCCGTAACACTCTCTTTAGAGAGACCCGTGCCCAGCAGTGCGATTGCGGGCGAATGCACTTCTTGAGAAAGTTCTATCCCAATCGAATCGATAATTGCGATCAATACTGCGAAATGCGTACGGGACAAATAAACATACGTGACACTTGTGTTACATATATAATAACATGTATATAGATAGATACCACAAACGGTAAGTAGGTTACAGGTAAGCAATCGAGTAAGTCGTTCAGTGATCGTTCATTGCTCAAGTTTATTAATAATAATGTGCCACACAAGCACTCCAATTGTGGGACTGGATAAAAAATCGAGAATGTTCTTTGTGAAAGTCAGTTGTATATAGTGAGACGGATGACAATGTTTGCAAGGATTAAAGTGGCGATCAATAGTCCCTGCCTACCCCAAAGTGAATTCAAATGTGTGTGTATACACTCAACAAAACGAACACCACTCACACCAGAAACAATTAAGAAAAATTAGTTTCCTAAATTGGTTCTACCAAGCACCGTCATCAAATTATATAATTAGCCTGGTTAAAAGTGATAATTTATCATTGATAATCATTTGTAATTATGACTGTCAATTATAAAATTCATTGGAAAAACAAAATGTTACTGCTAGCAGTGAGTCGCCATCTGTATCTGAACACAATTTGCCGTTTCAAGACATACCCAAACGCGTCAATTGAAATATATTATATTTAAAATCTTTTAAAAATATACTTGATGTCGATTATTTCGTAATTTTGGAATAAAACAATAATTATAAAAGCACTTTCTTTTTTAAATAATATTTTTTTTAAAAAATCAGCATGGATAACACTCAAACAATCTAACAGGATAATTATTATCAAAGACGAATAATAATGACCAATTCCAAACACTGGTCAAAAAACCAAAATAATAACTATTAATTTTAGTGTGACTTATTTAGAGTATTAATCTATTAAGGTCACTAACAATTACAACTTGGGGCAAGATGAATACCTTTGAGGTCTAATTTATAAAGAACTGTAGGATTTATTGAGATTTATTTATTTTTCTTCCTTTAGGAGGTGAAGATGTGTTCCATCCACTGCATGGAAGAATCTACAATGTCTCAATTAGCTTATGGTTGGACATGTATTTATTGGAACACTCAATGAGAGTTCTAGTTAGATTAGTCCAAATTTTCTATGCTCTGTAAGCGACATGCGTGTTCTTTACATTTGTAGGGCCACTCAGAGATTTAAATTGCAAAGATCTGAGGGGCACTGCCACTGCGCCCGTCACCCTGAGACATAAGTTGACAAGTCCCCTGTGCCTGTAGTTGCACCAGCTCTCTTACCAGTCCAAACCAGAATGCAGTAATGCTCACATCACTGCTTGGCAGCAGAAATAGGAGATGTGGCAATACTTCATACTAACTCTTTCACATGGATCTTTACTGTTACACAAATATTGCATAAATTATATTGACACATACACATGACCAAACAATAATTATTACACATTTGCGATACCAGCCATAAACGTACTGAAGTTAATTCAGTAAGAAAAATTTTTGATATTTTCACAATTTAACATGATAAAGTTACTTCTGATGGGAAAACATTTGAGTTGGTACACACTGAATATGTCTAGTCGATCTACTCATCCAGTCAAGAAATGGTGTGGAGTAAAACTAAAGTAATTATAAATTTTGATTTAACATGCACCAATATACCATTGTTTAGATATGCGGTTACATTTACAGAACTGAAACTGAAAAATGAATTGTGGCGTAATGATTTTTCGCAATTATTCATTGTGTGTGCCCTATAAAATAAAATGAGTTGATTTAAGTTATTACTGTAATATAAGACTGATTTAAATATATCATAGGTCAGTACATAAAATTGATTTTAATTTGGCTGGTCAAGTTCCACCATTGGTTAAGTTAAATTTTCTGGAGTTAGAATACGTGTTTAAACTTTTGAAAATAGGTTTTTCTTATATAACAAGCTCAATTTTCAAAGTCTTCAATCAGTTTCTATTTGGATATTTCTTTTCACATACGTTGCTATGATCCCAAAGTAAGTAACTAAAACACTTGTGTTATCGAAATCGGGAACAATGACTGTACCACCAACACCCAGACTCGAGACAATATGAAACGTTTGTTTGAATTGTTAATATAGAAATCTATTTTATGGTTACATAAAAATAAACAATTTTATTGTTGCAAAAACCACTTTATTGTTGATTAGTAAATCACAATAGCCAATCATGCAAGAGGTAGTATGTATACACGGAGTACAGCCACAAGCACATTAACCTTGACACTTAACTTGTCACACGTCCCACAGACAATTAAAAAATATTGTAAAAAAAAGAATTTAAGGCAATTTATTCCGTACAATGTACACGAGTACAATATTATGATTATAAGTATATTGCACTGAAAAGGGTCCAACTCAGCAAATATTGCAGTCAAGCCACATACTGGTTTTTAGTGAACCTATTTCAACATGGTCAATTAAGTAAATTAAACAAATAAAAGTAAAAAATGCAAACACAACTTAATTATGTACGGAACATAATTAATTAAAAAAAAATATAACTTGTGTTACAGACACAGTCTAGCTTCACGTCACTATAGTACCAAAACCATCATATACACCAAGTGTCTCTATGAAATTTTGCCAAAACTTACTTAACTTACATACACACATGCATATGCACACAGAGACACATACACGCACACACACATCTGCTGTCCTCTAACTAAAATGTGGCTAAGTGACAAAATATTTTTTTGCGATATCACAAAAAACTGAAATTTATTGAAATGAATATTTAAATTGTTTAAGAGGGAGCAGAGGAAAAATTCCTAATCTTCGATTTTAGAGGGGTAAATCCACTTTAAAGTTTAAAAAAATATTGTATGAGTAACTACACAATATATTCAAGCATAGACATTAATCAGAAACATAAAACAATAAAGTTTCCTCGATAGATAAAAATCACGAAATGACCTCTAATTTTCACATTTTTTCGATTTATCCTCAAAATGCTACAGGTTATTAGGACAAAAATTAGATAATTAATTATATTTATGCATGATCGACAACTGTCACTATGGATTTTTTTAATCCCTTTAGTTTGAGAGTTATTCCGCTAAAACGAATTTGGTGCTTTTAATGTGCAAAATTCAACATCTCCTGTGGCATGTCACGCGAAGTTCAGGCATATATGTCTTTCACAAATTTGGGCGGAGCCAACGTCAAAACTTTTTTGGCATGAGAGCTTTTAATGATATTTCAGCTATGCATCATAAGGGTAAGTTCGAATAAAACGAATTTGTTAACTAATTTGAACTGTTTTTAAAAGAGAATTTTTACTGTTGACATTTATCACTTAGCCACGTTTTAGTTAGTTGAGCAGACATACACAAACACACATATATTAATTTATTTTATTGTATGGTCTACTTGGGAAGAGCGGGGTCTCCTGACACAGGTATTTATATAACAGGAGTATCCTTGCCTAGTGGCAATCTATTTCGAATTTTTTGTTAAAAATAAACATGTTGTATTGTAAAACTTGATATGTTGTTGACTGAAAAGGGACAACAATTTATTGGCTTTAACTATGCAGAAAACATAGCCCTAATTTCACCAACTTCAAGCAAGAAGCAGGCCAAGCTTGAAGGTGTCTGACCAGCACCAGAGAAGACAGTTAATATTATGAATTAACATTAAAAAAACACAACCAAAACAACGTGACCTTTCGCAATGTTTTCTACACTTATTTAGGTGCAACAACTATTTCATATGACGATTTCCAGGTTGCCGGGTGGATCAATCGCTCATTTTTAATGGGATTAGAAATATTCCAATACAAGCTAGACTCACAAAGCACGGCCTGTCGGAACCACGGCTTGACCCTCTAAATCCTATTAATTACACGCTTAAATGTTTGTACAGCGACTGAAGCACAAACAGCACAACACATCGAAGGTTCAACCTAGACTATTACACCGTTTATTGAAAAATCAATGACACCACGGACTCCGTGGAAAATATCGACATTCCAAGACACTTAGTGAAGGATTACCTAAGAATAGCACTGTCCTTGGATGGTGCTGCGCGGAGGTTAGCCCGCCGACCTTCGATCGACGTATTTAATTTAGAAAAAACGAGAAATTTTATTACAATATACTAACACGACCATTCGCGACGGACTTCGACCTCCTTTGACTTTGACGTTTAGCTTTTCTAAAATTTTTTTAATGTTCAGTATGACCAGTTTAGTTTTATAATTTCGTCAGTTTTCTTCGATAAAGCCAAAATAAAATCTTTTATATTAAAAGATTAAAGACTTATTTCAACATTTTACATCAATAAAGAAATAGAATCTTCAAATATATATATACTACAAGAACTTTATGAGTACCTGACTTAAGATGATTGTTTTATTTGAAATAATCAAGCATTATCAGAAATAATGACTTGGTAAATTTTCAACGTTGACAGTAAAGTATACATTTACTAAGAATGTTTGCATTAACAGAAGTATGTAAAAAAATGTATTCGTGGCTGGTAATTACTCTGCTTATACTAATTTTTTTCCATCTTATAAGTTACTCTGTGATCGTAGTTTTCCCAAGAAGGTTGCCTTATTGCACTTTAGGTGATTGATAGGTTATTTCATAATCTCAGTACAGAGTAGTAAAAAATCCGACCTCAAAAGAACGTGGAATTACATTCAATAAAACTTGGTAATTATATTATAATTACCAAGTTTTATTGAAATCGGTTCCCGGAAAGTGCGCAAACCCAGATTCGTCCCCTAGTTTGCCACTATACGGGACTTGACACAGGAAATAATAAAAATCGGTTCTCACTACTCAAAGTATATTGAGAGAGAAAAACGCCTTGAATTGGAGAATAGCAAAGTCAACCATTAAAATAATTGCTCCTTATAATAAAATTTAGGTGCTATTTATAAAAATGACTCTTCATTCGAGAACAGCCACACTTAGAAGTGGATGATTTTCTTCAAAATTAAATGGGACCACTATGGAGGTACCCTCTTTCCAACAAAAAAAGAATCATGCCGTGCGTAACATACATACAAAAAAACATACTGTCGAATAGAGAACCTCCTCCTTTTTTTAAAGTCGATTAAAAAAGTTACACATAACATATATTATATAATCGACCATAGATGATCCTATTATACTTCTAGTTTAATGGGCTATTTTAGAACATTTTAGTATAAAATGTAGGAATATAAACAATTCCCGCCCAAAATCTGAATGTTACACAATTTTTATTTAAAAAATTGTAATTTATAAGTCTGGGACAACACCAACACCATCTCGCGCGACAAAAAGCGGGAGATCTCTATGCGAGAATAACAGTAATCAGTATCTCGCGCCTTATGTCGCGCTCGCGCTAGTTGCACCCTGTCATGCTATCTCTTCAGCAGAAAGCATTACAATATCTGAATGTATAAATAGTTGTTGCGTAATAACTAAATAATACTAAATGTCACCTTAATGATTACAGTTGTTCGTTTTCCATGTCATTATACTTAATTTTCGTATGTAGTTTACATTAAATACACCTTGAAAGGTTTTATTCATATTGGCTACATTAATTTTAGATTATCGTAATGCATTGTTAAGTGTTTTCTACATTCTGTGTACCGTCTAGGCTCTCGGGTTTCTTTCAAAGCAAAGTTTAAGGAGACTGGTATCATGACTGTGGTATCACAGTACATTTACTCAAATATTTTATATGCTCCTAAAAATATACATAATTTCATTAAGAAAGAAGATATCCATAACATTAACCTTAGAGCTAAGTCCAAACTCATGGTAACACGATTTCCTTTAACCAAAGTAAACAACTCTTTTATGGGGAACTGTACACGTCTTTACAATTAGATTCCAGAGCATATAATTAAGTTTATCATTTCCTAAGTTTAAAAATATTTTGAAAAATATTTTTCAATTACATTATATTTTGATCGAAAAGTCATATTACAAAATTGAAGATGTTAGATAAAGACATATGGAATGACGACACGGATCCAGAATCCACACAAATTTGATTCAAAGTGTTTTCCATAGCATTTCAGTTTAATTGAAAAGAGCAATCCCTTATTAAGCTGCGTACTCACTAACGAGCTGTAACCATAACTATTGCATGTTATGTCACTTAAATTATGGATAGTGTGTACGTGGTTTGCAAGCATGCCGACGATAACGAAGACAGTTTCACGCGTACACTCTGGAACTTCGTTAATGGTCGCTAATAAGTAGTAAACGCCCACCGTTTAAACGAAAAGCACTTAACAAAGTCTGTTTTTTAAAATAAGCGCATAAGCACGCTTTTCATTTTAAGCGTAGCGTTGGTCACTGGTCAGTTCTATAGATACTCAATAATTTCATTTTTACAACGTGCCTAAATTTCAAGTAGCGTCATCTATGTTTCCTAAACAAATTAATTCAACATAACGTTGCAAGCTTTTTTTAAACATAAAGTCTATGCGCTTAAACGCTTTTCTAAACGACTTTTTAAGCGTCAAACTAAAAAGCGTAGTGAAAAGCGCTTTTACAAGCACGCTTTTTAAACGTACCTCTTAACGTTAAAAAATAAGCAGTTTTTTCCATTTCAACGGTTAACAACTACAAAGTTAAACAACATACGCTTTTAAACACCAATGAACAAAATGTTAATATAATAATGTTATTTCATAAATAAAAATGTAACTCTTTTTTACAAACAACTTACTTATCTTAAAACCTTTAGTGGTCTATTCTTGCGCTTCGCTATCAACACAACAACGTTGCAAGCTTTTTTTAACATAAAAGTCTGTCTAACGTTTTCTAAACGATTCTGTTAGCTTCAAATTAAAAAGCGTTTAAGTGAAAAAGCGTTTAAAAAGAGCACGCTTTTTTTTAAAAAATCATGACGTAAAAAAAAAAGCAGTTTTTCCCATCTCTATTAACAAGTACCCGGCTTAATAATAAATTTCGTAACCTATTAACATAAAAATATTTTTCACTTACAATGTTTTTGCGATCTCTATCTAAAGATTTTTGAGGCTTTCGAGGCAACATTACACTTGCGATTAAAAATATGCAACAAGGTGTTAAAAAATATATTTTTTAACAGAACTAAAGTGACCGACATAGCTCGCAAATGGCAGTGCGCCGGGCATGTTTGCAGGAGGGTTGAGCGCTAAACGAGCAGACTCGTTCTGTAATGGCGACCACGTCAAGGAAACGTAGTGTGAGACGCCCTGTTGACGTGCTGCTAGATGGACGGACGACCTGAGCAACGTGGCCGGCAGTGGCTGGATGCTGGCGGCAGATCTAGGGGCTTATGCCCAGCAGTGGATGCGTGTAAGCTGATGATGATGATGATGTAGGTAACATATTTTTTGCCACTTTGTTTATAGTAAATGATGAAATAGTGATGTACTACGAGTATGTCGACTGCACAGACCAAATATGGCCGGTTCTGATTACAAGTGGGGTCACTTACGTTATGATTTGTAATATTGATTCCGTAAGTTACAGTAAAATTTTAAAAGAACAGTTGAGGTAACGATAAACGTAGCTTTTTCTATAATTTCTATTTGATGTAATTTTGGCGGGAAATAATGAAGTGACTTTGTCACCCGTTTAGCTCCAGGTATTCTCAATCTAAGGAACCCCCCACACTAGCGTCTTTCGAGCGTTAGCATCTTGTCAAAGCATGCACAGCTTCTTGCCAACGAATGCACAGGGCGACTGCGGAATAACAAGGAAGTATGGCGCTTCGCAAGAATTTGCGAATTGCTCCGCATCGCGCATTCCTGTGATGTTAATCTTTTTTGTGTTTTATTCCTATAGTTTCTTATCAATAACAGCAGTGCAATATGTGTGCAATACTTTTTTTAAGATTCACGTCGCTACCTTGTTTAAAATATACGTTTAGTGCGGTCGACGATCGTCGAAGGCATGGTTACCCGAACCATGGCGGTGAGACGCCTTCGTGCACGAAATCGCATCGCCGCAATATGCGTCGCATTTTCCTGCGTTGCGAATTCCCATCGCGTCGATTCGCAGTTTTGTGTTTCGACCCATACGCCGCGCTGGCGCCATGTCGACGCTGTGACCCCTGTGCGTGCGTTGCCAAGAAGCTGACGCTCACAAGACGCTAGTGTGGCGGTTCTCTTAGATATTTGAAATAAATATTTTAAATGATAAATATATTCTAATGTATATTTATTTACAAAGTGCAGCCACTAGAGTTACTCATTCTTCACACGGGAATCTGCTTTATAAATGAGCGGTAGAGAATCAATTTAAAGAAAAACTGCCTCCGTGGCCGAACGGTCACCGTGCCGGACTGCCACGCAGAGGTCCCAGTTTCGATTCCCGGGCCGGGAGAAATATTTGTATGGCCTACATTTATTTCTCTCGTGAGTTTGGGTGTAATTTGTGGTTGTCTATGTGTGTGTCCATGGCACCCGCGACACAGGGTTTCCCTAGTGCGGGGCTATGTTGATTGTGAGCGTTATTATTATTGTGAGCGTTAATTTCAAGTGTAATTTGCTTACCTATGAAAGAATGATTTTGAATAAACATTTAAACTTATATACCAGTTTTGTTGTAGGTATTTATTTTGTACTATTTTTGGAAATTATTAATTGCAAAAAATACTGTATAAAATCGACCGCCATCGTCGAAGTTATAATAAGGTGAAGGACGAGTAAAGAACGTATAAATAAATAATCATAGAGACAGTTCACGTGTCCAGCCCGTTTTAATTACAATATAACATCCCATTGTTATAGTGGAATTGATGCTATAATGCAGTGTATTTCTCGTTTTCGGTTTCCATTTCTTCTGTTAGTGTGTCGCTTTTTCTTGCTACTGTCGTTGCCGTGATCAATTTGCGGTCATCTGGAAGAAATGCTGCTACGATTGCCGATGCTGAAATTAATTTAGAAATATATATTTAATAAATAAATATATTTTTAATGTAAATAATTACAATTTTTAAAAAAAACAGAACTTAATAGTTCGTGGATTTACGTCTGTTTAGGAAGTGAAACTATTGTTCGGGATTTAAATCCGCTGTTTTTTTTTCAAACAAACCAACGTTTCGGGCCCTTTACAGGTCCCATGGTCACGGTTGACTGAGGTGGTACAGTCATCAACTAGTTATGTCTAAGATTAATGCGAACCACCCTATCTTTTCACTATAGTTATAAAAGTTATTAATTAAATATCTTATTTATAATTTTACAAAGAAACATTCCAATTTACGCTACATTGTTTTACAAATTATTTTATTGTAACAATATGAATTTTTATTAAGTTAAATTTATTATTAATTAACAATGGAAATTAGAATAAATTAAAACATATTAATTAATACTGCAGTCTTATGTCTGTTTGGGATTTTTCATCGGAGGAAATACTGGATGAAATAGTTTCATTTCCTATGTGTAACAATCGCGAAAACCTTAGAACTCGATATTACATCTGTTTTATTGAAATCGGTTACCGGAAAGTGCGCGAAACCGGATTCATCCCCTATTTTGCCGCCCTTAGAAATGGTATATTTTCTTAAATGGGACCAGTATTGAAGCACCCTCTTTCCAACAAAAAAGTATCATCAAAATAGGTCCAAAAATGCCGCAGTAATCGCGCAAATAAAATACACACACAAAAAAAATATAGAGACGAATTGAGAACTACTCTTGAGAACTAAAAAACATACTCAGCTCAATATCTAAATTAACTTTTTATAAAATTTTATTAACGATCGAGTTATTGAATAAAATTTTGAATTTCGTAAATTACACGTATTCGTTGTTTGGTTCTTTATCAACCTATTATAAATAGTCTGAACATCACAATGTTTTGCTACCATGATTCAATTATTTTTGTAAAATTACTCCATTGGTTTGTTATAATCATTAATACAAAGATCGAACACAAAGAAAAATTCCATCGATTTGACAGGACTCGAACCTGCCTGTATGCCAATCTTGGGCAGCTATAAATAGGACAGCTATAAATAGAACCACTATAATTTAGGACAACTATAAATAGGACAACGGTAACCTATCACAAACTCGAAATAATGTTTGTACGAATTTTCATTACACCGAAAACCGAATTATAACGAAACCGTTGTTCTTTCAGGATATGTTGGATGTTTATCACAAACATACGATTAGGTTAGGTTAAGTTAGGTTTAAAAGAAAAAAACGTTTCCTCTCAAAATTACTTTCGAGGTTACCAAAATTCGAGCCAAACGTTATTTCTGGAAAATGTCATTTCGAACTACTGATAGGTAACCTTGGAAAACTATAAATAGGACAACTATAAGTAGGACAACTATAAATAGGACAACTATAAATAGGACAACTATAAATAGTATGCTCTTACGTACATGCAACTAAGGTGGCAAATAGGTAAAAACCAAGTTCGCAGTTGGAATTTAGAAGAAGATTAAGAATCTGTATCACAACAAACACCATCATACGACCTCCGGTCATCGTTAATGAGATTGCTAAAGCCCTGAAATCAGAAAATGTGGCTTATCATTTATTTCAAACCATTGACGTTTTAGTATATTTTCGGCTACGGAGACAGTTAAAAACTTGCTTGTAAGTCAAGGACATGGGATTTGTCAATTTATGTCTCAGGGTGATGGGCGCAGTGGAAGTGCCTCAAAGATATTTACGATTTAACGCTGTAAGTGGCACTGCAACTGTTATTGGTACGCATGTCGCTTACCACCAGGCGAACGACTTGTTCGTCCCGTCACTTGGTATTATTAAAAAAGCTCTTTACTCACCTTAGATGTGTAGGGAACAAAGCAATAGACATAGCTGTGTACAGTCCCACCAGTAACAAACCCGTTGTGAACATGACGAAGACCGCTGCACTACCGATTGCATTCGGTATCAGGTTGGTGATGATGCCACAGAGTCCAGTAAAAGCCGCGACTCCCATCGCCATATTACGGCGGCCGGCGCGGTCTACAAACTGTAATTTTTCAGTCAATTTTGGATAACTAGAACTTTATAATCAAGTAACCGCGTGTCTTATCTTCGAACTTAAAGAAAATTCATGAAATCTTCTTGACACAAGACTATTTGTGAAGATAGGTTTTGTTCACGTATAAATAACATTAGGGCGTTTTAAGGGTGCCTTCAAATTAGACGCTTATAGAAGCGCTACAGAGGAGCGACTGTGGCGCGGCAGCCGCGCGTTGGTAGCCGGTGGCGCTCCAATAAATTTTAGTTCTCTTATTGTGACTGCAAAAGATGACCGCGCGTGGCGCAACTGTCGCACTGCAGCAGCGCTTCTAAATATTGTATGAAAATTATAGAATAAACCATAGTTTCCCAAAGTGGTCCCTACAAAGTGGTGTAGTTCGTATAGGGGCCTATACGAACTACACTACATAAGTATATATAATTTTGTAATTAACGAAAAAAATATATAATGTAATGTAGTTTATATAGATAATTCAGGTTTAATTTTCTTAAATGCGGTAGCACCTCTTGAACAGCATCAGCGCCTAATGGGGGGTGGTAGGGACCACTTTGGGAAACTATGGTATAAACGATTAGGTAATTAACTAAAAGTGAACAAACTTCAACTGTCATTTGATCAACTACAATATTTAGTAGTAAGTTTCGTACGTAGTATTACTGCTGTACTCTTTGATTTGGTCGCATGTTATTAACTGTCATCTGCTTAAAGGCTGGATTTTAGGTTGTTTGTCGAAGGAACGTTGTGATAGGTGTTATTAAACATTTCTAATTAAATATTATATTTATATTATATATTCAATACTATTTTAAATAGGTAGTTCCTAAAGTTGTCTATTACTGGAAAATATTATCATAAATTTATTATCCATTTTCAAAAAGCGCATTATAATTTTACAGTAAGAAACAGGATAATGCCTCATAAAATACCTCATTATGGTTTGTTTAGATTTAGTTAATTACTTATACCTTTGTAGTATAGCAGTGGAGCGGCTGCAGCACCACAGTGGCGTGGCACTGCAGCGCTTTTATAAGCTTCTAGTTTGAAGGCACCCTAAGTATTGATGGAAATACTAAGTCACTAGGTACAAATCATACGAACTTCAAGTAAACGATACAGAGATAAACAAGAAAATTAAATCTTATATCTACTTTAGTATGGATACGAAGTTTGACGTACCAAACTGATTATTATATTGACGATTGAATGTAGAGACCCGACGCCGAACACAATTAATAAAGATATCATATTCAGAGAGCATGGCGCCACGTCTTCCTGTAAAGTAAAAGAAGAAAAAGTTTTAAGAACATATTATAGGAAACTTAAAAATCCATTTAAAATAAAAGTTACTCTACCTTCGATTACTAAGTTCTACACATACATACGTATACTTCACGCCTTTTTCCCCAATGGGAAAAAGGTAGGCAGAGACAACAGTCTTCCACTTGCAGTAGCAACTCCTGACACATATCTTTCGCCTCATCAACATGTTTATGGGTAAACAAAAGTAATTTTTTATTATCTATAGTTTCTAATTGTCAAAGTGGCGATCACACACTTGGATTGCTCTTGGAAATATAACGTATGTAATTGTCATTACCGAATATTAAGACCAGACCTAACTACAGTCCACTAATATAAGAATACAACAAACACGCATCAGTGCTTTCATACACGCTCGCCGGTTAAGGATACTCTTGACCTGGCCCTTCTTTAGGATGGCGTCAATTTGGTCATGGTAAATTCGCCTTAGTCGGCCCGGACCAACTTGCCCGCTCACTCTCGCCTTATAAATTTGTTTCTTCAAACTTCTTTTACATGTCCGAACCATCTAAGCATCCCTTTCTGTATCGTTGTCACTACATCTTCTTTGACGCTGCAACACTTACTAATGTAGAACTTATCAACTTAGTGATAAGTTCTACGTTAGTAGTAGGTATATATAATAAGACAAATATGGTAACTTCAAACAAATTCAGTTGTATGTGCGCCCGCCGCGTGTCGTGTACGGACGCAACAATCGCATAATCTCGGTATGCACTCACGTTGTATAACGCGAGTCGTTGTCGTTGCCGGAGGTAGTGCACACATATAAGCCGCGTTGTTGCGTATGAATGGAGTTACTGTTCTTGTCTATGTTAGTAGAGTCAGAAAAATATTTAAAAGTTGTTTTGATAAACTTACATTTCCTAGAAAGCCTTGGTTTGATGCTGCGAGTCTCTCTAGGAAATCTCTTGTTTCAGCATTTAGAATAACATTTGGTCAAATTCCACTAAACAAATTTTGTCACTTGATAGATATCAAAGCCTCACCCCTTCGCGATTACAAATAACATAAATAACAGAAGAAGTTACTGGAGCGTGACCACACATGGACCGCAGAAGTACGATTTGGAGTTGAGGAAATTGGACGTATTGGAGACATAAATATTGTTCTGGGAAACCGTTGACATAAAATTGCCAAAAAGATTTATACTTACGTAACCTATTGCATGAAATCCAAAAATACCCCTGACCACGCAATTTGCGAATACCTATGAGGCCGAAATAAACACCATAATATTGTACAGTGTTAAAAGCTTTGTTAAAAATTAAGCATAATAATAATGTATTTATTTCCAAGCGTTGGTTGACTGTAAAGACATTAAATCTAGGATAAGGTTAGAACATTACAAAATAGATTCCCTGACTCTCAAAGTAGAATAGCCTGTCACATGAGAGCCAGTGTAAAAAATATTACACCAAGAGCTCGCTACGAAGCACGGTCTCGTACATCAGAGGATGTCATACTACAAGTATTCACCGGAGCCAATACTCGAAGACGACCGCACCAAAATCTATTGGGATCGATCCATTATCACAGACAGGACTATTCTTGCGTATAAGCCTGATATTGTGATGTTGGATCCATCGCAGTCGAGGGTATTTCTAGTGGACGTTACCATCCCGCATGACGAGGATTTTGTGAAAGCCGAAACCGAGAAATGCCGGAAATATTTCGACCTGGCTCCACTGAAATAATCCCAATTGTTTTGTCCGCAAAAGGGGTAATTCCAGTCAACCTTGCTAACAGCTTGAGGCGGTTGGATTTCTGTGTCGTGTCGCTTCCAGCACAAATGCGGAAGGCGGTCCTGCTCGATACAGCATGTATTATTGTTCGCCGGTTCTTGAAAATTGCCGAGAATGCCTCTCTCTCATTAGAAAATTTAAAATTAATGTTTTAGGCCTTGGGAGAGACGAGAGTCTAAAATAGATAATAATAATAATAATAATCTTACATTAGGAGGTGCTTGTTCTCCCATAATAATGATGGCACATAGGTTGGATTCGTAACCTTCCCCAGTACGAAGAATCTCCACGAACTGATTTGCTATAGTCGGTAACCAAACGACAAACGATCCAACCCTGAAAAAAACATATTTTTCTTTTAAAGTAAACAACTCTAACTTGGCTATAGTTTTCGATTCACTTTTGTTTACGACACATTGCGAACAAATAGTAACATTTGTAAAATTATTTTCATCAGCATCATCAACCTATTTATACGTCCCACTGCCGGGCACGGGTTTTCTCTCAGGGGAGGTTTAGGCCATAGTCCGCCACGCTGGCCTTACGTGGGTTGGGGACTTGAAACGTGTTCCGAGGGTTGTGAACCTTCTTGGCCGTCCAGGTTTCATCACGATGCTTTCCCTCATCGAAGAGGTCATGGTAAATTTTAAATTGGCACACAAATTTCGAGAAACTGAGAGTCGACGTCTAAGAGAGACGTAGAGAGAGACTAAACCTAAGGCCTCTACTTGCGAGACGGCATACGATTAGGCTACCAAGGCCCAATTATTTTAATTTATTATATTTTATTGAATTATTATTTACTTAATACCAAAACCAGTCGAAACTAAATTTTTATTTGAGAGCCAATATGTTAGTTTTATTGGTGGTGCCATAGTATAAATAGTACAAGTAGTGTACATCTACATAAACATAGCAACGCTTGTATGTGTGCATGATTAACGAGCGGTATTGTATATGGACGCATACATTTACATAATCTCGCGGTGCACTCGCGTTGTACATATGCTTGACAGATAGCCGGGAAATCCGGGATTATTCCGGAATTTTCGTCTTGTCCCGTGTCCGGTAATTAGACTTTACTGTCCCGGATTCCAAATACTTAGATGTTGTTTTTACAAATTTACTAGACGCAGACGCAGCGCTGCAGTTGTGCGAAGTAACGTCGAAATATTGATTGCGAATGACGTAAAATTTTTGTGGGCACTCAATGAGTATTAAAGACTCCCAAAATATGGTAGAAAACAATGTTACTGTTATAAATGATGGTCATCTGACAAATTAGTTCTAGTAGTAGACGGCGACTCTCCCTTATCCTAGTAGAATTGTCCCGGAAATGATACGTCAGTATCTGTCAACCCTAGTTGCGCACACGCCATTAATTATAAAAATCAATGTTTAAAATATAACTGCGTCTGTGGCCGAATGTCTACTATGCTGGACTACCACGCACAGGTCCCGGGTTCGATTCCCGGACCGGGAGAAATATTTGTACAGCCTACATTTCCTTTTCTCGTGAGTTTGTTTGTAATTTGTGGTTGTCTGTTTGTCCATGTCTGGCATCCGCGATACAGGGTGTCCCTTGTTCCAGGATATGAGTTTGCGTTATTATTACTATCATTGAAAATATTTTTCTGTGTCATATTTATAATTTTTTTAACTGAGAAAAAGCATGAGTTCTCATAATTTTTAAGTTTTCGTGATTGTTACACATAGGAAATGAAACTATTTTTCCGGACTTAAATCGCGTAAGTATATTTGTTTTTCAAACAAACCCATGTTTCGGGCCCTTTACAGGTCCCATGATCACGGTTGACAGATCAGTTAACCCCGATTTAAATTGGGAAAAATAGTTTCATTTCCCATGTGTAACAATCGCGAAAACCTAAGAACTCGATATCTCATACATATAATCAAAATACTAACCCGCGAAGTTGTATACATATATGTTTATATAAATAAGTAATGCAATTGCAAAGGTTATTTCAATATAGCACGAAAATAGTGTAATGAATATTACAATTTTTTTCGAATTGCTTTTGCAACCTCTAAGTACAACTAAAATAATAATATTACAACCCTACGCTCTGAGTGACGAGGCAGTGACGCGATGTACAAGAGAGTTGCACTACTTGTATTTTTATACTATGGTGGAGGTACTACTTAATTATTATTATGGTAACTCAACTGCAAAAACATTGAAAGTGTTGTCATGATGATGAAATATTTGAGAAGAGGAGCTTTGAACAACTCTTTCATTGCACCTTTCTGTTCCGGTGCGTCCGATGTTAGTTGCAAAAGTCCCTTTACCTAGAACAAGATATAGGCAAAATAGTAGTTTATATGACTGTTACATAAAGAAAGCCATTAAAATACGAGTGTCACACAATACATCTCACGTTTTAATGCCTAATTATGTACACTTATATACACTGCTTTATCTATACACATATTATAAGCTCTCTATGATGTGTTCAGGAACCGCATGTTACGACTGGCGAAATGGCCGCAAATAAAAATTTTCCTCACGCATGTCACACAGTCGTGATTTTTATTTAATTCATAGACATATTAGAGTCGGCCCCAACTATTATATCGTTCGATATAAAGTAACGTGTGAAATTTGTCAAAATTGTTTGCTATTGAACCTTTATTGACATTTCATTTCGAATAAAACTTCATCTCGACCGACATTAGAATTGAGGTCGAATCAAATTGTTTTGTTTTTCTGAGATGTTCGAAATTTAAGTGTATTAAAATCGAATTCGAGCAATAATAACATTTTCACAGATAAGGAATTTGTTCTAACAAAACAGTTTATCTATATGCTGGTCGTAATCAGCTGTTTGACACCTCATAAAAGGTTTATGATATCTTAGAATAATAACGCATAGAAATCTAGTCCGCACACGCTAAGTGAGGCAAATTGAAGCGCGCCAAAAGGGCCTACACGAGCGGGCGGGCCTTCAGTGCTCAAGGTCAAGAATTTTAGCTAAAAATGACGAAATGTGCGGTAAATGAGTGTAAAAATACGTCAGACAAACATAAAATAGATACTAACATCACATTCAACAAGGAAGTAACGCGGTTCAACTTGTATTTTTATATAAATATTCACTAAAACCGAAAAATAACCTACTACTAAAACTAGCCTACATGAATTTGATTTTTGCCTCACTTGTGACAGTTCGTTTGATATGAAACTATCATTCTATGCCATTGACTTACAAATAAATGGACGACGGGTCTAATACAAAAACCACGAAAAAAATGTCCCAAGTCAACCTATTCGAAATTTAAATTGTTATGTCATCGCAGTATCGCGCTGTCCGTAGAACAAATGAAGACTAAAGGGGAGTGTCGCTCTGTATACGATTTTAGCGCCTTACAAGTGCGGACACTTTTTAGCGCGGACCCGACGTCCATATAATTGTAAGTCAATGTTCTATGCGTTATTATTCTAAGTATGATATGTGTGTAGATAAATATTATTAATATGTTGTTATATTTATAATATTTAAATACAAAGAAAAAATCCTTCAATCCTTCCTTCGATTTGGCAAACAGCCCTTGGTTCGGATAGACCCGGATCGTAGGAATTTTTATTTGTATTTTGTTCGGCCTTTGAGTCAATAATAATATGTTGTTAGACAAATATGGCATTAACCATAAATTATTATTATTATTTTAATATCAAGTGACGGGACGACAAGTCATGCGCCTGATGGTACAAGCCTCTACATAGCGTTGTAGGCCACCCAGCTTTAAATCGCAAAGATCTGAAGGGCACTGCCCCTGCGCCCGTCACCCTGAGACATAAGTTGACAAGTCCCATGTGCCTGTAATTTCACCAGCACCCTTTGCCCTTTAAAGCCGGCAAGCAGTAATGTCACATTAGTTATATTAAGTACTCCTTGGCGGCAGAAATAGGAAGGAAATAGGCAATACTTCCCTGCTACTAAGGTTTCTGTAGGCTATTACAACATAAAATAATTGTTAATAATAATAAAAAAATAACTGTTAATTTTAACTGCAGTAGAGCTCCTTGTGAAAGAGTTCGTCCAAGAAAGTACTGCCATATTACCTATTTCCGCCACCAAGCAGTAATGTAAACATTACCGCGTTCCGGTTTAAAGGTACTGGTGAAATTACAGGCACGTGGGACTTGTTAACGTATGTCTTTGTCGCAGTGCCTGTCAGATCTTTGCGATTCAAAGCTCCGAGTGGCACTGCAACTGTTATGGACAGGCGTGTCGCTTACTACCAGGCGCACGACTTGGTCGCCCCGTCACTTAGTATTATTAAAACAAAGTAGCACCTAATAGTATACAGGGTTATTTTTAAAATTCTAAGAACCTCACCTCAGATTTTACTTTCGTAACAAAATAAAAATATTCAAATAGATCTCTCTAAATGGTTATCACCACTCACGATACTTAGACTATGGAAACCAATCCTCGTAAATTGTGATAGGATCCACCACCAGAATTCTTTTTATGAATGACAGTACGCGGGAAGCGTTGTTAAAAATTCAGATGTAAAAAGTGTCAGGTAGTATAACAAAAACTTACAAGTTTCTTTTTATGTGTTTGTTTTCGTGTCTTTTGTATTTGGTTTTTTCAATGACTTTTTAGCCGTAGCGCCATCTGTGAGAAATCTTAAGTATTTCCTCACCCAGTTAGATACCTTTACAGCTACTAGCCCTGGCTAGAGATGTCGCTATTTATTGTATTTAAATTTTTATTGAATTGATATTCAATTATTTAGGAAATGAAACTATTTTTCCGGATTTAAATCGCGTATGTTTGTTTTTTCAAACAAACCGACGTTTCGAGCCCTTTACAGGTCCCAAGGTCACGGTTGACTAAAAAGTAATTGAATATCAATTCAATAAAAATTTAAATACAACGAATAGCGACATTTGTAGTCAGAGCTGGTAGCTGTAAAGGTATTTAACTGGGTAACGAAATACTTAAGATTTCTCATAGATGGCGCTACGGCTAAAAAGTTTCTTTTTAGTAAATTTATTATGTTTTGTAAAAAGCCATGGAACAAAAATTGTTGTTTATGAAGTTGGTAATATTGTCCAGTGAGGTTGGTAGTATTTTGAAAATAACCTACTGTATACGTATCTCTCATTTTGAAACAGTTAATTGGTTAAATTAGTGAAAAAAGTTATTGTAAAATTAAGCACTATCTAACCGGGAGCTCCTCTTGACCCTTTCTATTGTTCATTTTATGTATAAATCTTAAAATGTTGAGAGCGCCTTCTTCGTTGCCCTTGGAGAAAACGAACTTGGGGCTCTCCTGCATGAAGAGCAGCCAGATGAAGCAGATTATACTGGGCGAGGTAAAGACCACCATTAGCGTCCGCCAAGAGTTCCATTGAATACCCAAACCAGGTACGTGGTAGGAAAATGGCAGAGGAATTATGGGAATGGCCACCACTGAAAAACAAATTGAGTTATGTTGATTATTGAGAATGTTGCGGAGAACTAATATTTACATTATATTTGCGTAAGCATGCCAAAACACATTTCACTGTCCTAATTATGTATGTAGATAGCTACATATTGTATACTATATGCAAAGCGAAGGCGGCATGTGCGCTGCGCGGACGCTTTACGGACACTGCACGCGCGCTGCACGCGCGCTGCACGTGCGCTGCACGTGCGCTGCAGGTATGCGTTAATAGGTACATGTGGCGCAAGAGCAGCGCGCGAACGGCACGTGAACAGATCGCACTACGTCTAATGCTCTGGCCACACAGAGGCGGCCGCGGAAGCGTTCCGGGCGCGGGAATTTTTGTAATGTACCAGTTCTTATGAACCCTGCCACACTGAAAGGCGCGGCGGCCGCGGGGCGAGGCGGCGCGGTGCGGGGCCGCACGCCATGACAAACAGGCAGAGCGGGCGCGGGACCGACCGCGGGGCGGGTGCGGGCGCGGGTGTTGTAATACATTGAGTTCTATGCAACCGTTCACACAGAGCGTCAGTGGCGGGGCGCGATCCGGGAGCGGGGCTTCAGCGGGCTTGGACGTTGTATTTTTTTACAACTATGGAATGTGTTTTAATTGATTTTAATCAAGTTTCAAGATGAATTCGACGGAAAAACTTATATCATTGGTGCAATCATACCCCAGTTTATTTAATACAAGTGATAGAAATTATAAAAACATAGAAATTATTTGGGAAACTATTCCAAGGAGCTAAATCAAGGTCGTGAGTATATTTTTTATGTTTTTAATTATTATTAAAATAATTGACAAATTGTTCTCTGATTTCAATTGCATAATTAGACGATCTTTGATTTGTACGAGGAATTGGAAGTAGTTCATTGGCATCAAGTGGTTGAGAATCGCTCTGTTGAACCGCATTGTTACCGTTCTTACTTTAATGAAATTGTGTAAACAACACGTGCCTTTGATAACCTCTATTGTCGTTTCAATATCACATTGCATGGGACGTCTATAGACTTGCCATTTCTGTGTTAGCTGGCCGAATACGTTGTGGAAAACGTCTCCATCAATAACAATCAACTGTGAGAGGTATCTCACAGTTGATTCTCATGATCACAGGCAGGGCTGGGCAAAATACATGCTACATCTTAATTGAAATACAAATTACAAAATACTTCCTTAAATGTATTTAAAATACAAAATACCAAATACTTTCTTGAGGTGTATTTGAAATACAAAATACAAAATACTTTCATGGGGTGTATTTAAAATACAAAATACAAATACAAATTACAAAATACTTTATTAGTATACTTATCGCGACATGTGGAAACCAACAATTTCCTTCAAAGGATTTCCTTCCACATTACATATCTTGAAAAAGAAGTTTTAAATATTCAGTTTTACCAGAAAAAAACTGTTAAACCAATACAACCATACTTCAGAGCACGAAGTACGTATAATTATTATTAATATTCCTATACATGTCGAATACTGTATATACGTGTAAATGCCATTCATAACATGTTCACAACACAAATTAGTCGCTCACGCGATACGTTATCCCTATCTACTCGGCCTATAAAGGATGCAAATGTGCAATTTAAACCAACCGCAAAATGGCGGCTATAACCCTAGAACCCTGCTACTCTAAGTTATAACCGCGAAAAGATGACTTTGACGTCTTTGACAATACCAGCACTGTTGCCACCTGCAAATGTGCTTCTACTGCATTGAATACGAGTATTTAAGATGTCGTGAGTGTTGTGTGTCGGTGTAGTGAGAACCCTAGTGCACAAATAAGTAATGAAGATAAACTGCGGGTAGTTAGAAAAACTCGCACAACTAAAAGATGCTGACACCCGCCTCTTCAGTCCTTGCGAGACCATGGACATTGCAATATGTCCGAAAAGTCGAGGTAAATAAAATATGTTTATACGTGAATAAGTCCCGAATTAAAAATCAAATAATTTCATACTTCATTTTTTGAACGTTCCGCTTTACACAAACGGACGCACGCACGCACGCACGCACGCAGGCAAGCACGCACGCACGCACGCACGCACGCACGCACGCACGCACGCACGCACACACACGCACTCACACACACACATATACACATACATACATATAATAGATGCTCTTTGCAAAAAAGTGATTGATCACTTGCATTTACTTCGTCATTTACAACGACTTCAATCTAATTACATATATTTTTTGTATGTAGTTCTTCACATATAATACCACCACGAAGGCTGGGGGCTCAGATAGGGGCTCGATTAGGGGGTCCGGTTGGAGGTCGGTTAGGTGTCGGTAGGGGGTCGGTTAAGGTGTCGGTTTGGGGGTCGGTTAGGTGTCGGTAGGGGGTCGGTTAGGGTCCGGTGGGGGGGTCGGTTGGGGACCGGTTAAGTGGTCGGTTGGGGATAGGTAGGGGGTCGGTTAAGGGGTCAGTTAGGGGGTCCACCCCTAAAGGGCCCCTAACCCGCCCCTGACCCACTCCCTAACCAAACCCTTAACCGACCCACTAACCGATCCCCTAACCAGCCCACTAACTGACCCCAACCGGCACCCTAAACGGCCCCCTAACCAACCCCTAACCGACCCCCTAACCGCACCCTAACCTACCCCCTATCTGACCTCCCAACCGACACCCTAAACGACCCCCCAACCGGCCCCCTAGCCTACCCCCTAAACGACCCCCGAACCACCCCCAGCCGACCCCTAACCGACTCCCTAACCGACCCCTTAACTAACCTCCTAACCGACCCCCAACTGACCCCTAACCGACCCTCAACCGGCCCCCTAACCGACCCCCTAACACACCCCAAACCCATCCCCTAACCCATATTCGTGATGACACTTTTACTTGATAGTTTCGGTTTTAATTGTTAGTTTCAATTGTTTCTTAGAACAACTAATAAAATTAATCTTATTGCAATTAAAATAAATTCAATCGAAATCAGTTGCAATTGAATAGATTTTTTAATCTGATTGAAATTTAATTGATTAACGTACTTGCTTCGGCAGTACATATACTAAAATTGGAACGATACAGAATTATACGTAATCTAAAAAATGAATACAGCTATGGAATAGACGAGATACCATCCGCGCTTATAAGGGTATGTGCAGACGAATTGACGTTTCCGTTTTATACGCTTGTCAATCAGCCTTTTGCATAGGGTGTGTTCCCGGATCTTCTTAAACAATCCCTGATAAAACCGATCCTCAAAAAAGGAAGTAAGTATGATCTGAGTAATTACAGACCCATTGCATTATTGCCCGCGGCTTCGAAAGTATTTGAGAAGGCAATGTGTAGCCGCCTATACTCTTTCTGTGAAAAGTACAATATATTTGATGAGTCGCAGAATGGTTTTCGGAAAAATCGTTCAACTACACTTGCGACTTACAAATTTATGCAAAAGATTCTGGATACACTAAATGAAAAAAAGTATGGTATCGGTATCCTATTGGACATGTCAAAGGCATACGCATAAAGTTCGGTATGATATCTTACTGGATAAACTTTACGGAATGGGTATACGAGGTGACATTCATAAATGGTTCGCATCCTATTTAGAAAACAGAATCCAGTATGTAGAAATCGAGCATTATAACTTATATGAGACAGGGGAAATAACTCAAGTCAGATCTGAGCCCCAAAACATGAACAATTCGATACCACAAGGAAGCGTCATTGGGTGCATACTATTCCTGGCTTATATAAATGACCTCCCAAAAGTAATAAACGATTCATGTGTTCTTTTCGCTGACGACATCTCAATATTAACCTCTTGTAAAAATAGTGACCACTTAAATCAAACCCTTCACTTCAATACACTAACTACAATTGTAACATGGATGAATGATCACAATTTAGAAATTAACTTCACAAAAACCAAAATTATAGAATTTAGACCCTATCAAAAACCATCACTAAATATTAATTTTTCGTATAACCAAATACAAATAGAAACCGTCAATACATTTAATTTACTCGGAATAGATATCGATACAAATATAAATTGGAAGCAGCATGTACAAAAAATCACAAAAAAGCTATCTAGTTTTACTTACGCCTTAAAAGAAATAAAGAAGTCAACAAATTTACAAACTGCCCTAAGTGCTTACTATGCGTACGCTTATGCATGGTTATCATACGGCATCATATTGTGGGGCAATAGTACAACTGTAAATGACCTCTTTATTAAACAAAAAAACTGCGTAAGAATACTAGCAAATATATCAAGAACAGAGAGCTGTGAACCATTCTTTAGAAAATACAAAATCTTAACCCTAACATCAATTTACATTTTGGAAGTTTGCAAATTTATAAAAAAGTACTTACAATTTTACACTAAACTGCGAGACGAACCAAGACACCATCCCACAAGATACGGATACAATCTTGTAACACCGTTCTCAAAATTGGAAATGCATAGATCGAGCCCATATTCAATGTCGATAAAAATATACAACAAACTACCGGAGCATATAAAGCAAGAAAATAAAACAAGTATTTTCATAAATAACTTAAAAAACATTCTTTCTAATAAAACTTACTATACAGTGCAACAATATCTTGATGATAAATTGCTATAGCGTTGATCTGCCTCATTCCTATTTTGCTGTCCATTATTATCATATCCATATTACAGGATTCATATGTCTTTCATTGTACCTATGTAATAATAATATAACGCACACACTCAACATAGCCCCGCACTAGGGAAACCCTGTGTCGCGGGTGCCATGGACACACACATAGACAACCACAAATTACACCCAAACTCACGAGAGAAATAATTACAGGCCATACAAATATTTCTCCCGGCTCAGGAATCGAACCTGGGACCTCTGCGTGGCAGTCCGGCATGGTAACCGTTCGGCCACGGAGGCAGTTAATGTGAATAAATAAATAAAATGAAGTAGATAACATGTTATATAATGGAGTAAATGCAATGTTATTATGGTCGAATTAAAACTAGTATAACACATAATTGTACAATTAATAATATGTTTATATATATGATAAGAAATATAATAAGAAATTTTGTAATAATAATTATTGCTAAGGCTTGAAATGTAATTAAACCATATTATAAGTTTTTATATTGCTATGCCCTTACAGTATACTTACATGTATACGTAATATAGTGTAAAATTTGTATTATTTATATTATGTAAACTGCAATAAATATATTATCATTATCAATGCCCAACACTGATATAAATCTATGTACGTCACAAAATAGGCTGTACATTGAAAAGAAAAAAGTATTTTGTTGAAATGTATTTTGCAACGAAAGTATTTGAAATACAAATTACAAAATACATTACGGTCAGGTATTTGAAATACCAATTACAAAATACATTTTTAGGGAGTAATTGAAATACAAATACAAAATACGTATTTGTATTTTAAATACGTATTTCAAATACAAGTAATTCAAATACTGCCCAGCCCTGATCACAGGTATCTTTCACCGCCAGAAATACCATCTTCACCAGAGATAGCTGTGCCAATACCTCCAACGAAAAGGAAATTAGGCTCTCAAGGCGACGTGAATAAAGTTTTAAATTATTTAAATAATAAGAAAAAACATGACGCCGTAGATTACCTGTTTATTAGTTATGCAGAAACTTTTAAAAAACTGAAACCCACAATTCAAGCCGAAATCAAATTGAAACTTGCACACATTTTTACAGAAGCTGAACTGAACGACCTAGAAGAAAATCAAATTTCAGTAGCACCGGTACAATCTCCTTCATTTACCTTAATTAGCACAACAAGTAATAATGATCAAGAAAGTATCCCAGTTTCATTGCAACAAATTCCTGAAGACTTGTTTTTCCCATTATGATACCACTAATATCGTTGAAGACTAAACTACACAGGGTAATTCCAAGAGGTATGGTACTGAATTGATGCTGTGATAACATAAAAAATGTAATAAGACTTATTACAAAGAATAGTAATACTAGCAATGAATCTGGGACACAAACATAAACCTCAAATATATCAGAAACGATGAATGCTAATTTAATAAATAAAGTGTTTTATATAGCAATCAAGGAGTTTTATAATTTTTATTCGAGTATTGAATGGTCTACAAAACACTTTTTATTTGAATAAGTTTGCATTGTTAGTTCTGAGATGTTGATTTTTATGTTAGTGACTCGATTCATTGCTCCCGAGTGTATAAGTAGGTACATAAGTTAAGTATAATTGCAATTATGCATTGTTCATAATAATTTAAGTAAGTACATAAAATTAAATAGAATTGTTGTTGATATTACAAATCTTAGACGCCTGTTATTTGTTAAAATAAAAAATCATGGGCCGTAGGAAGCCAGCATTAGACTGATGGTAAAAGAAGTTTGAAGTAATTGTGTTAAGATTGTTGATTGTTCATAATAATGTAACTTTCGATAGGGACCTTTTATATCTTTATTTATTATACTATATTTATGTCTATATTATTATCTATTAATTATATGTTAAAATGAAAATGCCCAGCAAGTCTGTTAGAAATAGAAGTTTCAAGTTAACTATGTTAAAATTGCCCATAATAATATAAGTAGGTACATAAGTTAAATACAATTGTTGTTACATAAATCTTAGATAGGTACATATTATTAGTTAAAATAAAAACGCCCAGTGAGACTGCTACAAAAAGAAGTTTCATGTTAATTAATTATACAGATTGTTAATAATAAACTAAGTAGGTACAGTAGTTAAATGCAATTATTATTGTTGATTCTACAAATCTTAGATACCTATTATTTGTTATAATGAAAATGCCCAGTGAGTCTCACTGAAAAAATAGTTTCAAGTTAATTGTGTTAAGATTATAGAATTTTTTAAATGTTTTTAAATAAACAATTTCTGTTCATATGAATAGTTTGATTCAAAACCTTCCAAGTAAGTATACAGGGTGTCCCAATCTCAACGATAACCTGGGAACAGAATGTTGCCTAGTTTGTAACTACCCAGAAAAAAAATATTTAAAAATCGGAGTCATTTTGTTTTTGTAATATAAGCATTTTAATGAAAAATGTTGAAAATGTACGCACTGTACCCCATTTTTAAGTACTACAATTACAAATTTGCTAATTTTGCTGTTTTAGTATTTGTAACGGTAACCCGAAACAGCCCAGCTAATGAACACAATGCCAAAGAAAGCCCGAATTACTAAAGTTTCAGCACTAAAAAATTCTGTATTTAATTTTTTTCTTAAAATTTTTAGCAGATTTTTTTCAAGGTAACTGACACCCCATACTGTAAAAAACTACCTAGACTACCATGGCAATCTCTTACAAAAGTTTGCGCTTAAAGAAGTTCTTCTTCATCACTATCCGATAGTGACACGGACCTTTCTTTATTTGTGTTGAAAATGAAATGTGGCGTGACGCTTTTGGTGTCACACCGGCCGCCTTCGCGCCGCTGTCCCGTCACGAACTACACTCGGGACTGCTGTGTGGCATGCCCCGGCACGCATTCGCTTCCCGCAGGTCCGCCCCCGAAACGCTTTTCCCGCTTTACCGCGTCTGTGTGGCCTGACTTTAAGCGTCTCCTTGTATGAGCAAAAGGAAACGTCTAAGTTCTAGTGGGGTAAGAGGAGAATACTTTGTTTTGAGATAAATGTTTTGAGCGCCTGAAGAATAATTTTTATAAGACTATTTGTTCTTCCAGGAGTTTTTGAACAACTACAATACACTACAATAGCCTTTGTTTATCGGTTTTACACGTTTAACAATCATTACTCTAAATTCAATACTTACGATCTATTTGCCAAAAACGTGCAAATTGTGTTAACGTTTCTTTTCCCCCAAAAGATGGGATAAAATAAACAGTTATCGTATTTCTTGTAAAGGTAATGTTTACCTCGTTCAAGTTCATTCTCAAGAGTTAACACTATCAAGTTTGGGGCATACTAGCGACATCTCTTTAAAGTAATTTAAACTAATTTGTGGGTCTGTTTTATCGACTGAGAGACTCTAGTGTTAAACTTTTAAGATTATGACTTAAGGCTTCAAGTCCCTCTTCCCCCGATTCCCTTCCTCTTATCCCATCTGACCTTACGGAATAATGAAGATTCTTAATAAATATCTTTTGAATATTATTGACAATCCTACAAACTTACGTGCCATAAGACCTTGAGCTAGTAAGAAAATACTGGTGACGAGAAGCACTACAAAGTTTCGTTTCGCCATCGGTACGCTTTCACTGAGTATTGCCATAGGGAGACTGTACTGCCCAGATGCACTGTAATTTGCAAACAAAATGAAGGTTTTTATTATTGTAAGGACAAAATATTTTTCTATCAACCTTGGAATTTTCAATAAAACTGCGAAAACCAATTATCTGGAATTTGTGCAGGAAATAACTGACTATTAGGAAAACGCGACATAATTACTTTTGTAAATTGCGAATATTTACATATTTTCCGTAAAACATTAAATCTGGACTCATTTGTTACAACTTAACGTGGATGACCAAGGCATTTGTAACAAATATTTTTTGTTAAATCGCAATTGAAATTATATCACATGTGGTGTATGGAAAATAAAGGTACGACGCTAGTAATCGGTGCGAATGAATAACCAAGCATTGTTTTATCGAGCTATTTATTGAGCTATCCATGTACAAAAGAGTGTAGACCTAACACCACATTATTTTTAGAGCGGTTACATACGGCGAAGGCAGCGATGCAAATGCGATTCAAAAGCGATGTTGTCGCTAATCGTCTACCTTCACACACGCGCGGAATTTAAGTAGTGATGCAAACGCGACTGCATCGATACAAACGCGCGATTGCATCGCTATTCTTGGGATATATTAAAGCCGCCGTGTTTTTACCATTCTAACATGTTTAAGTCTAATTTACCAAACATGGTTATCAAAAATATTTTATTAAATGGTCATATAATAAGGACTTTTTTCACTCATACCTTGTATCAGACATCTAGATGTGATTATAAACTAACTTCATTATTGGTATTTTTATTTGTTTGTTTATTGTATCGTATTTTGTTTCATAATAAGCACGTTACATTGCCACTGTTTTTACTTTGAAAAACAAAGTGAATTTTGTGAGTTTCTTTTACTGCTTTCGTATGATAATGACTCATTGTTTAGTTTTTACTTACAATGTCAATGTTTCCTATAAGATAGTCATCAAGGAAGTAAATGCCTATGTATGTACAATATAATCAATGAGGCAATCAGATACGACGGCGTCGTACAGGCGGCAGCAAATCACGCTACACATTAACGGATCTTATTCATAATACCAATATTAACGACCCAATGTGTTACGTGAACGATATCACATTATTCATTTAATATCTTCTAATCCCTCAAATGACAAACAATCATTTTGATTTAAAGATAATGATGACGTATGGTCGAAGTAACGCCAAGTACAAAACCCTTTGAAGAAATCAAGTAATTGAAACAAATTCTTTGAATACTGAGATATGGCATCCTTCGTGTAATAAGGCCACATCTGCAAAGTGACAACTTTCCAGGTGAGAGGCTAAAGCAAGTCTGAGATATCAAACAAGTCTGACAAACTTGCCTATAGTTCACACTCGGTCATTTCTTTCTACGGTCGTAATGAGTTATATCTCTTTATAATTTGTGCAATGAGTAAGAATAATAGACAAAGCGTTTCTGGCATTAAGTCTAGCACCGTGTATTTAGAAAAAAAAAGAAATAAGGTAGGTTCGGTATATAAGGTCCAGCTGGAAACAAAGCCCAGTATTAAAAAATGTTAATTAGAATACTCTAATTCGTATAACGAGTCATGCATGCATAGAAATTACGTATGTAACCAGCTGGCAAAGTCGTTTCAGGTTGCGTTCGCTGCCATTTGGTCTGTAGTGTACACAAAGTCTGTACGGGTCATTACGGTTGCGTTTCGCAGGTACATATAATTTTGTTTGTCATAAATGATCACAGTTTTCAGCAAATTTCACGGTTTCCTTTGAATTTTTACTTTTTTATTTATTTTTAAAAAACACTTAAACTATCATGACAGGTTTAACCTAATGCGATAGTAAAGCAACAAATTATGATTACTATACTCTCATAGCTCCCATTACAGATATATAGAATATATATAACGCACACATATAACTCACACACTCAACATAGCCCCGCATTAGGGAGACCCTGTGTCGCGGGTGCCATGGACACACACATAAACAACAACAAATTACGCCCACACTCACGAGATAAACAAATGTAGGACATATAAATATTTCTCCCGGCCTCGGAATCAAACCTAGGACTTCCGCGTAGTAGTCCGGTATTATAACCGTTCGGCCACAGAGGCAGTTAAGATGTATTTCCTTAGACCATAGAGTACTTAATTACTTAACTGGTTTCAAATATGTCAACAATAAACAAACTCACTCAATATGTACCACATATGTAATTTTACTATATGCAGATTATGAGAATTCATTCGTAGAACAATTGAACAAATCGATGTCGTTTGACACTGGCGTTGAGTGCACGCAGCGCTCTCATGAGGGGCGCATTGTGCAGCAGGTTGGTGCGCGCGCGATACTGTGTTCTTTGCACTGTACACACAGCTTAACAGTGCAAAGAACACCTGAGTTGTGTATTTTATCACGTATCACTTTCAATAAGTAAGTGGCGAGAGCTACTTCTCTTCTTACTTCCAGTTTATAGTAGCCTATCATGCCCAGTATAAATAAGGTAGGATATAATAATGGATAACCTGGGTACACACCATACTGTTTTAAATATAGGAATCTACCAAACTTGTTCTGAATACGTTCTAACTGCCTCCGTGGCCGAACGGTTACCATGCCGGACTGCCACGCAGAGGTCCCAGGTTCGATTCCCGGGCCGGGAGAAATACTTGTATGGCCTACATTTATTTCTCTCGTGAGTTTGGGTGTAATTTGTGGTTGTCTATGTGTGTGTCCATGGCACCCGCGACAAAGGGTTTCCCTAGTGCGGGGCTATGTTGATTGTGAGCGTTATTATTATTATTATTATTATCATTAATTTATATTTGGCTTCATGTGGCGACCAAATAACAGCGTTACTTATGTTGATGTGATCAGAAAATATCGAGCTATAATAAATATACTTACAATAACGAGGCAATGAACTGTAACACCATCAACATGATCCAGTTAACGCTAATGCTGGCCAGCAGGATCATAACCAATCCGCCTGCCAGCGATACGAGCAACATGCTTTTTCTTCCCCTCTTGTCGGCCAAGTAGCCCCAGAACGCTGCTCCTATTATTGTACCTGGAATTGTAAAGTGGTTTATGTCTAGGTTGTAAGCTTATACTATGGTTGTACTATCACACTTAGTCCGTAGATCTTTAAGCGTCTATCGCGTTCAATATAATAAAGCTTTTAGAATGCTGATGACGCTGCCACGTTTCTGCAGCGCATCTGCGATGTTCGCGGACAGACGGTTTCTATGCCATTTTTTTATTACTTGTGTGAATAGTACCTGTTTTAATTTTATCAAATTTTTGTATATACATTTTTGTTTTGTGTTTGTTTGTGTTTTTGTTTTGTAATTATTTATTTATGTTTTACGTTGAATGTTTTGATCGTGTTTTGTTTTAGTTCTGTTTTGCTCCGTTTTCTCTTTTTTTTTTGTCTTTTGTGGTGTCATTGTGGTAAACAAATACATGTATTTTCTTTCTTTCTTTTCTTTCATTTTGCGCAAGCCTTTGGCATCTTTAAAGCACCGATGCATCTCCAACAGCTTTCTAAAAGTATTATCAGACATGACTGTCGAATATGGTAACACTGGCTAAAGCTGGCTGGAAAGTAAACTCCTCACAGACCGGTACATGCCGTTCACTAACTAAAATGGTGAAATATCCATTTTATATAGCAAAAAATAGAGCATAAAATTATCTTTTAAATACAGTTAAATTACTATTTTATTATTTACTTACTATATTATATATAAATTACTTATTATTAGTTAATGTGTTCGACTTATCGGAACTTACCTAACGACGCATAGCTGAAATATCATTATACAATTTCAATGTTCTAAACGGGTTATGGTTTTTTATGATATCTCAAAAAAATATTTTGTCACTTAGCCCCGTCTTAGTTAGTGAACGCTGTACATTATAGTCCATTTGTTTAGGTACTTAACTAAATGTTTTTTTTTTTTTTTTTTTTTATACCTGACAGGCAAATGACTCCACTCCACCTGATGTTAAGTGGAAAGTGGTATCCAAACGCGGAGGAACCTAGTGCAGCGATGAAATCCTCACTGCACTAGCCACCTCCACCCTGCCTGCCTACAATATGCCTCTTCACGCCTCGTTTGAAGGACCCCATATCATAAGAGGGAGGGAAGACATGTGCCGGAAGGGAGTTCCATTTGTCAACCGTGCGGCAGAGAAAGGAGCCACCGAACCTTTTAGTACGCGATGGAATGCGGCAGGTAGTGAAACGGTGACTACGAAGGCCAGCACGCGTGCTTCTGAGCAGGAACGGGGAAGGGGGGATGAGGTTGAACAGCTCCTCAGAGCACTCACCATGGTACATGCGGTAAAAGGCGCTAAGCGATGCAACATCTCTACGCAGTTGCAGAGGTTCAAGGCGTGATGAGACCATGTAAACAATCTTGATACATCTTTTTATTGAAACACATGCTTTACAAATCAATAGGTATAAAAATAGGCATGCAATTTCATATGAAGCTAAGTATTTGTATTTTGTATTTGAAGGTAAGGGAAAATCATTTTACAAATGTATATTTCATTAAATAGACATCTCAAGATTGTTTACATTTATTTAAGTACCTAAACAGATGGACTATAGTTATTGCTATTATTATTTTGTTATGCGCGTAGTTTCGAAGTAATATAAGTAGACTGACATTAGTCAATAAGTGTTTGTTTATGTATTTTTAATTATCTGAAATAAATTATTATTATTATTAGTCGTAATCTCAAACCGTTTTGTCTTTTGATTGATAACTTTGTTTTTTGATCTTATGTTTAATAATCGCTTACAAACTACACATCTAAGTTTGCGTTAGTGGATAACTGTAATACCCTAATTTTACTAACGTCTTTAACCTTTTCACCGCCATGGACGCTTTAAAGCGTCTTACGTCTATGCCTCAGAGTGAATTATGTTGCTCTGATAAGGTTATTATGATACAGGACATTTCCTAGTTTGAGATCAGATATCGTACTAACCTAGAACTGGTCCAGCGACCAGGATCCCTTGCTGGGATGTAGTGGTTCCAAGCTCGCATGCTGACGCCGGCACTATGAACGTCCCGCCATACACGACACATGCATACGAGATTATACACAACCCCGTTAATGATGTCAGCAAGTAACTGTAGAGACCAAACCCTGGAAATAGAATGAAAATATACAAACGATGAAGTAAATACAGAAGAAT